CACCAAGACAGCAGCAAGCCATGTGGTTTAGAAGAGCAGGTTGGACTGCTGGTGGAGCAGCCATAGCAGGGTTGCAGTGGCATGGCTGCAGGAGCAGAGAGGGAGCAGAGATGGCGATTGCATGGAACGGGCAGGTCCAGGCTTCCTGCACCAAGGCCAGACCCACCCTAAGGGCTGCTCAGCACCACCAGGGAAACAGGCTGATTCCCCTGGGCGTGACAGCTGACCCAGCTGGCCAAAGGGCTCTGCTGTGCCATCTGCCATGGCACTCAGCAGTAAAAGCTGGGGCAGGAGGGAGGAAGGAGGACATTTGTGGCTGTGGCATTTGTCTTGCACTTCTTGAGCCACGTGCATGCTAAGCCCAACTTTCCGGGAAGCCGTTGGACACCTGCATGCAGAGGGGAAGCTGTGAATCAGTTCCTTTTCCCATTCTGCTGGGGCTCACAGCTTTTGCTTTCCCTGTTAAACTGCTGTTACCCACATCCACAAGTCTCCTCACCATCCTTCAGTCTTCTCTGCATTTTGTGGGAGCAGAAAGTGAGCGTTCCACTGGATGAAGACTTGACTGTTCCCCAGGGTCAGCCCCCAGTGGGAGAGCAAGTGTCCTGCTGCCATTAGATGACCAGGCTGCCCGAGTGTCAGCAGACTGCCTGGTCTTGAGCAGTTAAGGCTCAAAATTGGTAGGTGTCTGGTAGGTTCTTGCTTTTCTTTTAACATTTTCTTAGTTAAATTAACTGGGTTTTTCAACTGTGTCAGACTGATGTAATTTTAGTTTCCAGTTTTTCTATTTAGCCACTAGGAAACATTCTGCTTATTCCTCTCATGCACATCTAATGAATCCCCTTTCATGTTACTGTATAGCATTTAATTATAATTGCTTGCTTTTCCCAAGAGGTGGTTGCTTCAATTATTGCAAAAACTGGGAGAAATTAAGGTGGTACAGACAAATACGACATAATAATTTCCTTCTTTCACTTACTTGGGTTTGTAGTGTAAATTACTTTCTTCCATTTTGTCCATTTTAGGGAGTTAGGTAAAGGAAAATTGTAATACAAAGAAGACTTATTATATATAATTCTATAATCTTTCAAGTATTGGTGTCATTAAAGGTTTCTGGCTGGTAGATAGCAATTTTAATGTATGATTTTAAAAAGGAAGTCTTGGCTTGGTTGACATTCTAACATAGCCAAATAAGCATGAATTTTGGAAGTATTGTAGTGTAAATTGTTAGGAGGAAAAATCTATAAACTACCTACTGCAGTTTCCATGAAGTCATTATGGTTTTCTCACAGAAAAGAACCTTTCTTCAGCTCAAGAAAGTTAAGGAGAATAGATACTGTGTTTGACTTTATTTATAACATGGCAAAAATTTAGGTTTTCAGCACTTAATACTCTTTTTTTTTTTTCTGAGGGGAGAAAAAGAGCAATTGCTGTCATGTATTGTCTACTACATTACAAATGTAGGGAAAGAAATGTTACTAACATCAGGTATTCTAATTCTAAAAAAAATAGTATCCATTTCTCTTCAGGTTGATCAGGGTTTTTTTAAAGAAAGACATTGCAGGGGAGTTGCATTGAGATGAGGGCTGCATGGAGAGGAGGGTTGTTGTTTTATGTAAAACTGGATTATTGTTTTGGGGGGGTTATATAAATTGGAACAGATTTTGGCCTTTGCAGCAGTAAGTACTTAGACTCAGACTGTACTGCCTACTGAGCACCAAAGGGAAGCATACAGCTGAAGGTCTTGGTTTATAACTGAGGATGTCACACGAATCTCTGAAGTAAAGTCATAGGGCCTGTTGCAAAACTGGCATACACAGAGGTTTTGAGAATGAAGGAATAGGAATTCTGTAATAGAATTGCATCTACCTCACATTATCATATTTTCCATGTCTATCATATTTTTATCTTGTTTCTATGAGAGCTGGGCTTCAAAGTAAGGGATTCTTTGTACCAGTGTAGAATCTTAGACTTGCTTTGTTTCCCTTGCCCTCCATGTGAAAAGGTGTGTGTTGAGTGCACAGTGCACATTCAGTGGCATCGTTTTCAAACAGCCATTGCAGCCCTAAAGGCTGCCCTTGCTTCCTTCTTCCTATATACCCATCAACTTGATATGCTTGGGAATGCTTCTTGGAGGCTGTGGAGGTGGGTTTGAAGCACCACTTCAGCTGTGCCAGCCATGAGTGCTGTGAGGGGAGAGAACATGCACATGGAGAGCTTGGGGGTACAATCAGGTCAGTATTTCTTGAGGCCTTTGAGTTGAGGTCCATAACTTCAATATCCCTGTAAACATTTTCTGTTAAAGTCCCTATAAATACACCTGTTAAACTGTGGGACACTGTGGGACAGTGAGAGCACTACAACAGGTTTCTGTGCCATGAGAGTTAATAGGTAAGAGTAGGAAAAAGCTATTTTGTCACAGAGTTTACGGGATAGTGGTCGTATCTGTTGTGTTCAGGAAGTTATATTGAGAAACTCCACTCACTGATATGTTCTTTTGTTCTTTTGGTCTTTTTTGAATTGTTCTTGAGCCATCAGAAAAAAAGCATAAAGCCACTACTATATTGGCCCAGTGCTGATCTGGGATTACATTAGGAAGGTGAGGTAGAGACTGATGCTGATCCTTTTCCTGTCATCTCTGTCTTGTTCCAGCAGTTTCGTGGATTTTCTCTGCAGTGAGATGTCACAGCTGCTTTCTTGAAGTCACATGACATGCCTTCCTTTGTGCTCAGCTGTTGTGAACAGCTACCAGAATTTTCTGAGGAATGCAGTAAATTATAGGATGGAATAATTATTTTATTTTTTTTCATAATCTGAAACCCTTTTTAGTGGAAGAGAGGCATTAGCTGAGCCTGGTGAAAAGAAGGAAATTACTGTAGTGGAAAATAGTGTTTTACTTTAGGGAATACTTGCAGGTCCTGTTACAATATGTTGGTTCTACCACTCTCCCAAAAACCACACAGGCAGTTTTACAATTGCCAATGTTTTAAAAAATTTAAAATATGCAAGTTGAAAATGAATTAATAAACTAGAAAGTTTGCCAGACCATAGCCATACCTTCTGTTTTCTTTTAATTTAGTTTCAAAATGTTGGTCAAAGCTGCCATTCTGTGAACAGCACTTTTTTAAGGACAGTTTAAAAATTCTGTAGTAGATAAAAAATTGATGCTGATTTTTCCAGTTGTGCAAAGAAGCTCATGTTGAGCAGCAAAGCAGAAGCTAACAAGCTTTGTGCTCTGTACCTAAGGAGATGTGAGAAGCAAAAGGAGAACAGGAGGATCAGCTGCCAGAAATTAGAGCTTTGCTGGCCTCTATCCAAACATTTCTGCCTGAATGAGGTGGCCATAGTGAATAGAATATGTAAATCATCCAGGGGGATATATATTAACACTTCTGTCCTACCTGAGATTGAACTAATTCCCAAATTACATAGGTTTTTTAAAGTCTATCTCTTTAACTGGTATTTTCTGCTTAGCTTTTGCTCCAGGTATGTGTACAGGTCATGTATATACACGGTTCAAATACATTCCCATCACTGAAAGCTTAGCAAGTTGTTCACCAAGATCTCAAGTCTTGAAAAGTCTGACGATCCAGTTCTTTGTCAACCTAAGCCAATTTGGCTGCCGGCTTCCCGGGCTTGCCCTGCTGTGCCTCCCCTTGCCCTGTGTTCAGGCTGTGAGCTTGTCTGACCTTACACTGAACCTGTTTGGAGCACAAAGCTGGCAGGAAGCTATGCACTTTGCCTGAGAGTTTCTTGACTATTTAGCATGCTGAAATAGTTCAAAGCTGCTGCAGACATGAGTAGAAGCACATGGTCAAGCCTGAGGGGAACCGAACAGGGATGTAGCTGCCAACATTTGGGTTAGCTCAGGATGCCCAGCTGGAGGTGATAGGTAAGACAGAAAAGAGTAGCTTCAAGAATGCTTTACTGCCCTCAGGTCAGTATTGATTAAACCTCAGGTCTGCCAACAGAAATACAGAGTTACCTCTTGTGCTGGAGAAAAGTGTGAAAACAGTGGTGCTTCCAGAGATGTCCTCAGCTTCAGGGTAGAATCTCTGGGGGCGGATTGTGCGCTTTGATGTTGAGCATGACTTTCTTTACTTGGATAAACTACCAACACTGAAAAACAATTCCTGCTGTTTCAGAAATGACTTACCATTTTTTGTGAGTCTGGTTGTGATGTCCTTTTATCTCATGAGATGGTGACTGGCCATTTTGAGACAATATTTAATATTTTTGTTTCTTGGCATGTTTGAGATAAAAGCCAAACTGGAAGATAAGAACAATACAAATGTGCAGAAACATATCTTCTTTCCCCTCCTCCCATTTGGTAAAAAATAAAGTGATTTTGTTTCCCTCTTGTCTTAAAAATAATGTATGTTGTTGTTGAAAAAATTTACTGGGAAAAAACAAAATGTGATGCAGAGAAAATGGCTTACATGTAATGGCATTTTCATTTTCAAAAGATCCTGTAGTAAAGAGTTACTTAGTTGAATAAAAGAAATGTAGTAATATTTGTAACAGTTGGCTCTAATAATGAAGTGATTCTGTTTTGTGAGACTGAAAAAAATAGACTAAGTTTGTAGCTTTTTGTAGTCGAGAGAAAGAGAGGGAATTATGGAAATCTCTTCTTATACTAAAGTAACTACTGTATGAAAAGAAATACATCCACAAGTCTCTGAATTCTCAGTTTCTGGTATTCCAGGTCTCTATAAGTATTCAAGTAAACTCAATACATTTATCCACAGTGTAGTTATTTGCATTTTAATATTTCATTCCTCTTGTCAGAGTAATAAGTTTGCACAGGTTTTTTTAACCTGTTATATTAGCAAGTTGAGGTATTTTAAGAAGCGAATATGCTTTTAAAACCATTTTTGTGAGATTATTTTTCATTGTGTAAATATTTCACTTTTATATAGTAGCACAGCAGACATTAGAAGATGTTTTAGGAAATTCTGAATTCAACTTGTCCCTTCTCTTTTTCCCATTATTTGCTGCAGGATTTGAACAAGCGCTTGTCGCTGCCCGCTGACATCAGGATCCCCGATGGCTACCTGGAGAAGCTGCAGATCAACAGCCCGCCCTTTGACCAGCCCATGAGTCGGCGTTCTCGTCGAGCATCCCTGGTAAGTGCGATGCACCTGCCTTTCTAACCAGCCTCTCAGCTCTTCAGAATCCACTGAACACACATATTCCATGGGTATATTTCAGCTTCATTTCCACTTGGGCATTTTATTCCTGAACAACAGCACGTACTTGTCAAAATCCAATGGAGAACTTCACACTTTGTATCATTTTTCTTCTGCTAACTTGGTGTTCTCGTATTTCTCAGTGAAGGTCTTGACCTATTGAAAGCAGTGGCTAAACTAAACTCCCAAAGTACATACTTAAATCCTTCTGCTTTTTAGAGCAGGGATGATCTGTTTGAGCAAATAGGCCACAGTGTTAAGTCAGGGCTGGGTCCCCTCGTGATTTAGTAGGAAGGCCCTAAAGCAGCATAATATGAAGGCAGGTCCTCCTCACTGCTCTTTTTATATTTGATAACATTTTCTTTCTCAGAATTGCTGTGGAGACAATAGTGAGTGTTTTATGTTTTTTTGGAGGTTTGTTTTGTTTTGTTTTGTTTTCTTTTTTAAAGAACATGGTATTTCCTAAAAGAATGAAGGAATAAATTCACTTAAACCTTTTTGGATTATTAGTTATTTTAAAAAATAAGTCTTTTCCTTAAAGATGACAGAATGAGTATTCCTACTCTATAATTAGAGTATAAGTGCTAGAAAACTTGGATATTTGTACATATAAATCATGCACATCCCTGGAATAATAAAAAACATTATTTTATTATTTTTTAAAAATTTGATATGTTTCAGTCATAGTTTCAGCTATCAGTGTTCTTTAGTGTTGAGGTCTTAGGGAATTGCTAGACAGTTACTGACATCCTGAGTAAATTCATTGGTGAGAAATTTGTCACAGAGAAATTCTGAATAGGTTTATGAAGTGCACATCATTGTTTTCTTGATTTAATTACTTATTTACTGAAAAATAAATAGGAAAGTACCTATAGTGAAATAGGTTTGTTGACTGTAAAATATCTTTCTTTTATTCATTATTAATAAGGTCTATAACAAAGCATTGTTTGAGTATTTTTACCCTGAAAGAAAAAAATTATTGTGCTGGACTAACAAAGCTCTGATCTTCATGCCACCTTTTGCAAAGACAATGCTAAAAAAAAAAAAAAAGAAAATATTTAAGTGAATCTCTGGAAGTAATGATAATGTGTCAGGCTTAAATACTTGTGCCGGAATTTTGTAGCTCATTCACCACTTAGTTGCTGCTGTAGCATGGAACTGAGGAACAGATTTCCCCAGACCTCTCTTCAGATGCTAGCAAAATAACTTTTCAGTAGAACTTTGCCAGTGGAGTTAAGTATTTGGAATCTGGGAGAATTTTTCATGTAAATTTGAATTCCTTTGCTCATTTAACGGTGACCCCTGAGAACAATTGAGGTTCTCTCCTCTTTACCTCTGAGAAAACTGACAGAAAAACAGTGCCCTCTAATGAATGTGGTGTGTGCCTGGAATCAGCTTCCCATCACAAGGTTGTGTTGTTTTTGCCTTTTAAAATGCTTTCATTTTTAAAGGGCTTTAAAGTCCAAAATGAAACCTGCCAGCACTGCTGTGGAATGCAGGCATGCATTTGCTGTGATTTCCAACTAAGCTTTCAAAAAAAGAAACCCAGGGACTCACTGTTCTTAAATTGTTATTGCCTGCTAGCAGACTTTTGCTTACAATAGATAAGTATTGTGCTCTGCATCAAAGGCTTGTCTCTTTTCAAGACTTAATAGGGATCAAAGGGAAAAGGCTATCAAAAGTACCAGGTGACGACTTGTTATACTTTAGGTTGGTGTTTTTTCTTTGAAATACAAGCAAAAAACTAGTTTTTACAGTAACTGCATTTTGTGTAAACATGTACAGTATTGTATGCACAGACACTAGAAGTAAAAGACCCTAAATACTGTGCATCAGTGTTTCTGTGTAAGGCAAGATAGATGCCTATTGCAGAAAAAGATGAAATAGTTCAAAAATTATTTTGAACTAAAGATGAAATTGTTCTTAGTTTGAGGAATTTAAGGCTTATTTTTTCTTAGGAATGACAAGGAACCACAATATGATCAAAAATTTAAACACATTGTAAAGCAGATCTTGAAGAATACCTGTCTTCTGTATGTAGGAAATATTGTATGATTTTTTTGTATTAAACAGATACTAAGTTTATGAGTCTTAATGAAAAACACTGAGGTTTCTTAGAAATCTGGCTTTTAAATTCCAGACTGTCTGGTGGTAGCAAGACCAATGGCTATGAGTTCTTCTTTAGTTTCTCCTATAATAAACTAAGCAGCCTGTCTTTTTAATTCTAATGCCATCTAATACTCACTTCAAGATATGTTTGTTTAACTAGGTCAAAATGCACTTTGGAAACATAATATTTATTTTGCTAACATTGCACCTATATCAGTGGTATGTTTAAAATCTCACTGGAGCTACAAGGGTAGCAAATATCAACTTTGCTTGTATTTTGAGATAAAGGGTTTGTCTTTGACAAGCTCCTAAATGTGTGTGATGCTAAAGTCTACTTACAGAGTTCGAAAACATTTCAGTTCTAACACTAGTTTAATAAAGCAGAATTGCTCTTAATGTTATATTAATGTAATTATACACCCATTTTCCCCCTAGATATATGAAATATATTTGCAGACATGATCTTACAGTTAGTTCAGATGTATTTTCATACAAGTGTTCTGAAAACTAAGTATTAATCAAATTTTTCTTCCCTTCATAATATATTGCTTTCAAATCTTAATACAGTCAACAGTATTTATGTTACCATAAAATAGTAGAAAATTTTAAAATCCATCACATTTTTAGGAGCAAATCAGCTTGTGAAATGTGGATCTAGGTGCTGAAGACAGCCTAGGGTCAAAGGACTGTTCCTTGGAAAGAATTAGCCAATGAAGAGCTACGTTTGGAAATGAAAGGAGGGGTGGTGCTAGGGAGAAAACCTGGCTCTTTTGTTGCAGTGTGTTCATTTGTCAGTAAAGCATGACCCTGTGAAGCCTATAAATTTGGGGGTTTGACAGGGTACAGGCTATATGTGTTCTGTGAATTGCTTCAAGAATTCATGCTTTCATGTTTACTTTTAGCATTCAGGAGCAATAGTTTCAGCACTGAAGGAACAATAGGAAGCTTTGGTGTAATTCACAGTGGTCTTAGGAGAAAACAATGGTGAGAGAGAACTGTGTTATATGAGAGTAGCAGTGGATTTGAACAGGAAAAGAGTAATGATCTTACAGTGTTCAGAGGTAAATGTGTTACATAGGCAGGCACACCCTTCTGGCTTGCATTGAAGAGCTAGGTTGGAGACAGAAAAAGAGAAGATGAATAAATAGATCCAAGTAAAATGCACAAAGATTTGGAGCTAAGAGGTATAAATTGTGAACTGCTGAGACAAAGCTGAAGCTTGCTGAGGAATGATGCTTAGGGATTTTCTTGCTGAAATTTCAGTCCAAAAGGCATTGACAATTCAGAATGGAAGAGGATGCTTGGAGCTAAGATCTTGAACATAGCAGACAAATAAGATTACTTTGAAAAAAGCAGCAGCATATGGTTATGCTGAGCTAGAGAAAGGATGGACTAGTTTGAGATTACTTCCATGCTTTAAGCTATAACAACCTCAGTGGTAGTAATCAGATCAGAAGAGTGGAGAAAACCTAAGTAGGAGGTAGGTTAAAGAGAGGTTTTGGTCTACATGTAACTCAGCTCACAATCCCTCCAGGATACACCGTAGACTGGCCAACAGGCTGAGCACTGCACTGGGATGCATTTATATCAAAATGTGCTAATTTGTTTTTAAAATACGGGGGTTGTGCAGTGTTAGTCAAGTATTGTCAGGTAATTTTCTGAAATGAAGTTTAGCTTGTTCATTAAATGATGTACCAATGAAGTGTTTGGTTTTAGTGATCAATTTGCCATTTCTTTTCATTGCAGTCAGAAATTGGATTTGGAAAAATGGAAACCTATATCAAGTTAGAAAAGCTTGGAGAGGTACGTATAGCTTTCTTTTGGAATGATGACAATGTCCTATGTAAAATTCTGCGTAAGTTTACCTGAAATTTTCCAAATCCCTGAAAATACCTGTTGAATTTACTTTTTCAGTAAACCACACATATTCAACATGTGTAACAATGTCACAACCACACAAATGTTTATGCATAAGTAATGATTTAAAAAAATAGGCAGGAAAACTGTCAGAGCTGGGGAAGAGCAAGACTACATTAGAAAATATGCTGTGACCTTCTGGCTTTTTTTTCAGATAGACAAAATTATTCTGTCGATGGTAACACTATGTTTTTGATGATAACACTAAGTCTGGTGTCCTCTTGCCATGACTTAGGTGTTGGAATGTTCATGATGGATTAGAAACCAGTGCTTGGAAGGTGCAGGCAATAGCTCTGTGTGTGTTCTGGTAAAGAAACCTGCACACCTGAGCTGGCCAGCCAGCCAGGTGCTGCCAAGGGAAGTCCATAACACACTTGGAGGGGGCAGCTTTGCCTCTCCAGTCATCCTCTGACTTCCAGAGAAACAGTTCAGTTCAGAGGGACAAATTGTCATTCCTGTCCAGTTTGATTGAGGTTGACCAACAGAATCGAAAATGGACAAGGAGCACTGAAATGGGATGCAGTAAACATTGCAGAAAGAAACAGGGCTGGTCAGCATCTCTGCTGTGAATATTGCAGTCAGTCATCCATTTAAAACATTTTAATTTCCTGTTATCAAATCTGAGCCTGCCTGATGCAGCTTGAAGCCTATTCCTGTTTTCCTATCACTTGGTACCTGGGAGAAGAGGCTGACACCTACTTGGCTGTAATCTCCTTTCAGGCATTTGTAGAGAGCAGTAAGATCCCCCTGAACATCTTTTGTTGAGGCTAAATGCCCTCAGCTTCTCCTCACAGGACTTGTGCTCCAGCACCTCAATGTCCTTCTTGCAGTGAGGGGCCCAGAACCAGGCACAGGATTCATTCCAGGTGTCACCTCACAAGTACTGAGCACAATCACTTCCCTGGCCCTGCTGGCCACACTGTTGTTGACACAGGCCAAGGTGCCATTGACCTTTTTGGCCACCAGGGCAGACACTACTGGCTCATGTTCAGCTGCTGTCAGCCAGCACCCTCAGATCCTTTTCTTAGGAGCATCTTCCCAGTCACTTCCCCAAGCCCACAGCACTGCCTGGGGTTGTTGTGACCCAGGTGCAGAACCTGGTGCTCGGTCTTATTAAACCTCATGAAATTGCTGTCAGCCATGGATCCAGCCTGTCCAGATCCTCTGCAGAGTCTTACAGTACTGTAGTGATCTAGGGCAGTTTCTGTACTTCTGTTGCTTTCTCAGGCATTTGCAGGGATTAGTTTTGCCTACTGTTTGGTCAGAATTTTTTGTCTCAATTTAATATGCCTCTAGAGTTTTGTACCTCTTGCTGTCTAAAAATACATAATGAAGACAAGAAGCTATCCAAAGTTACATATTTTCTTTGAGTTTGTGGAAGAGTATGTCTGCAGCCTTTGGAAACATAAATGCAGCATAGTGTGGAGATACCTGAGCTAGATATCTGTAGTCAGATAGAGACTTTGAAGAGTGTAAATGATCCCAGCAGTGAACTTAGTGAACTTAATGCTACCTGATCTGACTTCTTTGGTAGCTCTGTGGTATTTAGGTTTCCATGCAATTTTCAGAGCTGTTAGGCATATACACCCCTTGTGGCTTCTATGAGTTCAGTCCTGTGCTTAAAAGAATACTCCTGTACTTTTACATGTGTCAAAAGAATATAATGTAAAAACTATTCATATCCAAAATGAAATCTATTAGATCCTCAGACAGAAATTAGTATTTTCTTATTTAACTAATGTTTTGATAAAGGAACAACTTGTAAAAATTCCCTTCTTTATCCATTTTATAGGGTACCTATGCCACAGTTTATAAGGGGAGAAGTAAACTGACAGAGAATCTGGTAGCTCTGAAAGAAATCCGCCTGGAACATGAGGAGGGAGCTCCATGCACAGCCATAAGAGAAGGTGGTAACTTTTTTTTTTAGTTCTTAGAATTTCAGATACTTCTGGATTTCTTTTTGACCAAAGCACCATCAGTACTTGGAAATACATAGCCTACATTGGACATTAGTAAAATTGCTGTTAGTATTGATGAGGAAAGTTATAGTCCAGACATTTTCAGAGTTTTGTTTCAAATTTATTTGCTTTACTGTGATTTCAAATTTAATTGTGATTGTGATCTCAAATGCAGTATTATATTATAAGTGGATGATTAGATACTGAATTAGACTGCTCTTAGTGAGTAACTTTCAGGAACTCAGAGTACATTTTACAGAATTACTTCTGTCTGAAAACTATAGTTTAAGAAATACAAGCTTGTTACTCAAGTATGTGTTTGTTGTTTTGATTAAATACCTTTTTTATTAACTCAATCTATATGCATATTATGTTCTTAAAAATAGCTTTTTAATTAAAAAACCCCAGATAGTTTATATGGATGATCTTAACTAGAAATTGCATTTATTCCTCACATGTTTTGCACTTACTTTGTTCTTCCTGTTCTCTCTTGCAGTGTCATTATTAAAAGATCTGAAACATGCAAATATTGTTACATTGCATGATATTGTGCACACAGACAAGTCTTTGACTCTTGTTTTTGAATACCTGGTAAGTGCTTAAACAATTACGGAGCTTTACATTTGATTTATGGTTTCTAAGAAACAGAAACACAACAAAATTCTGTACTCTTTTTTAAAATACTAGGAATATTGGAGTTTTCTCCTGCATTTACAGTCATTCAGCTAAAAATGAGAACAGTGTATTCAGTTCTTAAATGGCTGTAAATTAGTAAACATTGTTGTGATAATTTCAGAGTTTTATTAATAGCAGTTACTGGTGGTCTGCCTGTTCAAACTGTCTGCTTGTCTAAAATCATTACCTGTATAACATGGTAATCACACTATGGTTCCAGTGATATTTTTCTGTTCCTATGATATTTTTCTGTTGCGACATAGCTGGCTTTCAGTGTAATTGGAGAATATACCAATTCTATAAAATACTGTGTCTTGCATAGGTGGAGGAGAAGGCAGTGGCAAGTAATGTTGCCTGAGACAGTCCAGCTTGCTGGGAAATGGGTATTTCTATCCTCTGGAAAACCATGGGTATTTGTGTCCAGGCTTTAGGGGTTTTTATTTAGTATCTTCTGCAGAAATCTCTTTTTTTGATGAATCATTTCAGTTCCAACAATAAGTAATATTCATGTGATTTGTTGCACACAATTTTACTGAACCATGATGATGGTGTTTTGCCAGGACAAGGACCTGAAGCAGTACATGGATGACTGTGGTAACATCATGAGTATGCACAATGTAAAGGTGAGTGTTTTTAGTAACAGTGGCCACCTTCCAGCTTTGTCCTAAGAATTTCAGAGAACTTTATAATCAGGAGCTAGATGGTTTAGTCTCTTTAAAAATAAAATAAAGAAACTTAACTTCCTTTTTGGCCTGACTTAGCTACATTTGACATCAGATGATGTCTTTAAGTGTTTAAAACATTGAAAAGAGGCTATTATATAAGTTCATGTGTTTTCATTCTCTTTGAAGTTACATATCTAAAATTAAAAAATTCCTAAAAAATAATACACTCATAACTCTTTTGACTTCTTGTCCTTCCATTATTTTATACTCATTTACTAAGTCTGTAGTTTGATATATCCTTGGATTTATATATGGACACTGAGGAAAACGTGGCCTCAATCATGAATGTGTTTTTGGGTGCCACTGCCCACCACACAAGTAAGAAATCAAAAATACATATTTAAGAATGAGTAATGTTCATCTTTCCATTAGTAAGAAAATGGAAATAAAATATTCCTTACAGCCTAATTTGCTTTTTCTTCTAGTTATGGTTGTGGCCAGGTCAAGTGACTTAATCTCCAATCTGACCTGCTGAAACTAAGTCAGGGTCAGGTGCTATTTCTCTTGTAAAAACCAGGCTTTTATTTGGAAAACTGGCAGAACTCTTAGTGTTCTTTAATACTTAGGGCTTTAGAAACAAGCTTCCAAACAGAGTACAGAACTGTCATGAAATGAGTAAAATTATTTGGCACATGGGCTAGATATTGATTTCTGTTTGGTGAGCTTTCCCTTGCATTCTGTTGCCACATTACTGTAAGTGTCTCCAGGGAAAGACATCTGCCCATAACCTGCTCTGTTGCTTCCTCTGAGAGACTGCAAAGGGAAATTCTTTCACTTGTTTCTACTTCAGAGAGGCAACCAAAAATCATAATTATGCTTGTGTTTTTAATTATCTGCAAGTTCATTAGCAGTGCTTCAAGTTTAAAAAAATAAGGGAAAGCTGTAAGTGGGAACTTGACTCTTATTATAAGTTAGTGAACAAGCCAGAATCTGCTTGTGGTAACCTGAGCTAAGCAGAGGAATTGTTTTTCCTTGTTTGCCTATGGTTTAAGGTATGCTCAGAGAGCAAATTTATATGGTCAGTACCTTTGGCACTGGGAAACCAGAACAGCTGTGGTAGCTGTAGGTGCTTACCTTATAATAACTGTGGGGGTTTGAGTCATCATTAACATTTCAAAGACCTAAAGACCTCCCTGACATCACTTCCTCACATTCCTTGGCTAATTTTAGGTTTTTGTGTTTTGACAAAATGCAGGTGTATGTGATCTCTGCAGGTATTAGTGTTTTAACCAAAGTTTTGAGCTAATACATGGCATCCTGTGCATTTCCAAAAGGATCCCTGCCAACTGTGGTGAAGCTTCACAATTTCTGTAATCTGCTTTGCATTCTTGACTAATCCTTGCAGTCCCAGTGTACATTAGGGAGGGCCATTCACTTCTATTGAAGTCATGCTAATAAAGCTTGGCACTGACTACCCCTGCAACAGTATGGGCCTGAGTAGATGGAACAAGACTTGTTGCTTCTCATTCTGCTCTTCAGAAAGGAAAGTAAAGAGAAAGAAATTAATCCCAATTCCTGTTTTTCTAGCACAGATGAATCCCATGTCAGCACACTGAGAACAGATGGATGTAACTACACCTGCTGTGTATTTGTCCAGTTTATGAAAAAGAATTTGGTAGTGTCACTTGGTGCAAAAATAAACCGATGTATTAGAATATGGTCATATAAAAACATTCTAGTGTTTTTCCTCAGAGGTCCTGTTACATGATCAATTTGTCACATTGCTTTCTGTAATGCTTCATATTTTCTTGTTGTGAATTTGATTACCTATGCTGACTGAGTGCTGCTGTGTGGTAAATGCCAGCAATAGCTACCCAAAAGTCCCATGTTTGAGATCAGACCTTTATACATACAGAAACTGCAAAGTATTAGTCCTTAATGTAGTCATACATTAAACTTGCTTGGCTGCCCACTGCTAAACCTTTCTCTGCCCCATACTACTTTTATATCTATATATGTGCACCATTGATATGCATGACTGAAGTTGTTTGCTTGGCTTGCTGTTCCAGAGGATTAAAATAAACCTCTGTGTGTCAAGGTGAGAGGATGAATGTAAATACCAGAGGCAGTTGGGCTGCTTTCATAATCCTCATTTACCCATTTCTCCATCTTCCCTAAGCTTGTGAATCTACATGTATTTTTCCAGTAGCGTGCCAAGACATTCTTTACATAGTTCAGCAGAGTTGGATGGAAATGCTGCTGAGCTGCATTTCCAGAAGGGGCTCTGTGGCTAAAGGCAACTTGAGTATATAGTCAGAGACAGTTATCTTTAAAGACATTAGTGAGGGAAGAGCAGTGGTAAATGCTCTTTAAAAATAAACAGCCCTGTGTTTCTCTTCAGTTAAACAGAACAAATTGCTCTGAAAGTCTTTGTTGTAAAGTATGGTGTTAAGGCAGTGCATTAGGGTAAAATGATTTTAAATCTTTGAACAATAATGATGATGTCCAGAATTTGCTCTTAAGGAAAGTAACTCACTTTTTAGAGAAGTCATTTGTCCTGCTTACAGTACATAACTCTCCAGTGCCCAACTAGTCATGCAATGTGTAGATTACAATTTTTTTTTGTCTAATTTATATAAATGTTCTCTTTTGTAGCTATTTTTATATCAGATTCTTCGTGGTTTGGCCTACTGTCATAGGAGAAAGGTGTTGCATCGAGATTTGAAGCCACAAAACCTACTAATTAATGAGAAAGGAGAACTGAAGCTCGCAGACTTTGGTATGGCCTGAAATTACTCTGTAATAACTATTCTCTCAGCAAAGGAAAGTAATTTTTCCTTAAAAGGGGAAATGAGTACATTGGATCTGTAGTGAATTTGGGTGCTCTCAAATGGAAAATGAAAGTCAGCCTTTTACAGGCCATAAGTAATCAGTGTAATATCTCTGTAGGTAACACTGTCACTCCACTTACAGTTTGAAAGTAGTCTTAAGGCTTCCTGTGAAATTGATACTTAGTCAAATCCTTAAGGTGGAGCTCATGTTGCTTCTCCTACCACTCCACAGTCACTCTAAGTCACCCATGACAGGAGAGAGGAAGGGTTTGTTCACGTGCTAAATTGTCAGATGTTGCACTATCACTGATACACCAAGTGCCTTGGGTTTACAGTAGAGTGGGACGTCCACATTTCCCTGTTGCCTTCTGTGTCTGAAAGATCCTTTGAAAGTTGTGCTCTGTGCCTCTGATTTTACCCCTTCTGTGTGAATGAAAGCTGCTCAGAAGATTGCATCTAACATGGTAGATCTGAATTTTATTGAAGATATTGCTGACAAATTGACAGTGTTAGGATGGAAAACCCTTACTGGTCCAACACTGGTTTGGTCTGTTTCCACCATTCAGTTAATTGCTTGTTGCCTTCTGCCTTTTGCAATGTAATTTTCCAGAAACAGTGCAGAAGGTTTTCACAACAGGGAGGTGTCATATCAATCTAATGCTATTTAATGAAATTTACGGGATTAGTCCAGGTTTTGATGTGTTTACCTTTCTTCTGTGCTTAAAAATGCTGACCATGAGATTGCCATAAGTACTAAAAGGCAATAGAAATCTCTTTATTAGGGCCTTAAATAACATTAGGAGATGGTAAGTATAATAATGATGGTATTTAGCAAGTACAATAAGGTCCTAAAAATAGTTTGTCAATTTCATACAAAAAGGATTTAAGCAAGCTGTACATGACTCTTCATTTCCCTTTTTATCAAGGATTGGCAAGAGCGAAGTCTGTTCCTACAAAGACTTATTCCAATGAAGTTGTCACATTATGGTACAGACCACCTGATGTTCTCCTTGGATCTTCAGAGTATTCAACTCAAATTGACATGTGGTTTGTATAGCTTTGTCTAATTCAAATTTTTGTTCTGAGTCAAGTTGAAAAAATCTCAGCTTGGATGTTAAATAGTAACATTCAAATGCACAGCCTTTGAATTTTTGTATTTAAGGAAAAAAGCAAGTCATCTTCTTGTAATAACAGGGTAATGTGGTATTTTACCATGAACTTTAATAAAATTGATTAACTCAACATCTGAAGGAAGAGGATATAATATAGCTATGACAGAGGTTTTATTTAGTCTTTGACAGCTCTTCTGTTACTACAAATCTTTCTAAATATTTTAATTGTAGTGTGTGGCTAACAACCAATAATTTGTTTTAATTGAAGAGAAATTCCAGAAGCCTTTACAAGCTGAAATTAAAAGATTATTTCTGCTTTATCTTTCTCTGCCTTTATAAAGGGGTGTCGGATGCATATTTTTTGAAATGGCATCAGGAAGGCCTCTTTTTCCTGGTTCAACTGTTGAAGATGAACTGCACTTAATCTTCAGACTTCTTGGTAAATGGATACTTATAGTAATGTTAATGTTAATGCACCACATTTGTATGAGAACTGTGGATCTTTATCTCAGAACAGTAGTATGTATTTCATCACCTTTTCATCAAGGTGATGAAAAATTATTTAGCTGACTATATAGCTGAGTTTGCACAACATAGGCACGTTGAATAGTTTTTTCCCTTTCTCCTTTAAATTACAGGATTAAATGCTTTTTGTGTCAAAGTTGTTTGTTTACATTTTTTAAGTTGAATTTGTTACTGCTTCTAAATGCAGGAACTCCATGTCAGGAAACGTGGCCAGGCATTTCTTCCAGTGATGAATTTAGAAACTACAACTTTCCTAAGTATAAACCACAACCTCTCATCAACCATGCACCAAGGTACTTTGTGTTTTATTAATAGAAAATATGCATCCCTGTGGTTTTGCATATTCCTAAGTGGGAATGCATTTCTGCGTGCAATCTGCCACTGAATGGTGTAAAACTGTTCATCAGTTGTGGTAGAGTGGGCAGATGATAATGCAAAGCAGAACCTGGTACTATGTGATTACTTCCTCTGATATCATTCTAGGTACCACAGCTCCATAATGACCTGTGGAACGATAAACTCTGATAAATAATGTCTCCATAGCCAGAGAATTCACACAGCATTTCCTAAAGATCATAGATTCTCTTCTGGTTATATACTGGACCCAGGCCATTTGTTAAAATTGTTTTCTTGAGCAGTTTCTTGTAATCATTTTAAAACCATAATGAGGAAGATGAAGGGTCAGCTCAGTCATTATAAATAAACTTAATAACAAAGACATTCACTGTCTACCTTGAAGAAGATCTAATATTGTATCCCTCTAGTAAATGAGTAGTATTAATCTTAAAAGAAATATTAAAAATATTTAAATAAATTATTGAGGTCAGTCTAGTAAATGACGATCCAAACTAAGGATTTTTGTGTCCCCAGTGTTTTCCAAATAGTCTTGTTCTGAGATATTATTATGTTAACATCAATAAATGTTGTTTAGGTGAAAGCATTTCCATGTTTGTTTAGAAATAATTTTCAGGTTTGATAATTTTCAGGTTTCATTTAATTAAGTCAGTTCCTCTGCAGTTTTACTTTTGTGAATACAATTCAATAACTGTTTTAACTTTTAAAAATATCTTTATTTTTAGGCTAGACACGGAAGGAATTGAATTGATAGCGAAGTTCCTTCAAGTAAGATGTGTTTTGTGGCTTTACTTTATAAAAGTGCAAGTTTCGAGTTCTAATATATTACATACAAAATGTATTAGAAGTCAAAGTATTTAGCTCTGTCTCAAAGTGGAATGTGTAGCTGAGTCTGTAGTGGATGACAGATGTGAGAAGTCTGTAGTGTGAGAATTAAAAAACTGATGCTTGCTTTTTTTTTCTCCCAGAACTGATTTCTTCTCTTACTACCTTTTGTAAAAATAGAATTATTCTGTGTTAGCCCAGAAAAAACTAAATCTCTTGTGAAATGCAGTATTAAACCAGAACTTTTAAATTCAAATGCTAGATTTCTTTAATGATTAACTGAGCTTAGTACTAGAGAAGGAGTTAGTAAGGCGTAATAGTACTCCTTGATGTTGCAGCTGTATTCAAAAGCTGAGTGGTATGTAGGGCTAATCTTTGAATCTGTATTAAAAATGAGCTGGAAGCAAGATGGAAGGCCAGCTCCTGCATCTTTGAGTAGATGCAGCACTGTAAGTTATTTGTGTGCGGCTTTTGAAACATCTGCATCCTTGCCTAGAATTGCACAGATGCCAAGGAGGAGGAACCTAATCATTGTGCCATCTATAAATAAAGATTAGGTGGAGTTTTAACCTGTATCCATTTGCAGAAATTATTTTTACTATTTTAGCAATCTTGTTACGTGTTGACAGTACTGATTCTGCTAAACCATTGGGTAGTCATGTGTGAAAAGAAAGTAATGAAAAAAATTGTCCTGGTGAATTATGGGAAATGTTGAGCAGCTAGAACTCTTTCTCCCTTTGATGAAATCACTTGATGCAACAAGATTTTTAATGGAAACCAACACACGTGTATGCTTTTATGTTAATAGTATGAATCAAAGAAGAGAATTTCAGCAGAAGAGGCCATGAAACATGCGTACTTCAGAAGTCTTGGAACAAGAATACACACTCTGCCTGAAAGTAAGAGGAGTAGTAAAGTAGCAGAATATTGTTAAGATAGTGCATTGAAGCTAAGTACATTGTGAAAGGAAAAACCCTCTAAAGTATTAAAGTGTCTGATATCTAGTAGTTTAAATAATTGTGAATTGGAAATTTTTTTAATCTAAACTATATAATTAAGAATATAATTTTGGTCAATAAAACATAGTTTTACATTTGTACATGAATTAACTTCTTTGTTACATTTCAGGTGTTTCAATATTCAGTCTAAAAGAGATTCAATTGCAAAAAGACCCTGGCTTTCGAAATTCCACCTACCCAGAGACCGGTATGGAAAGCTTTATATTTTCTCATGCTTACTAAAAGAATGCTGTGCCACAGGCATTTGGAATTGAAAAATGCTTTGTTAAATCGGTTTGTGTAAATATACTGAAAAATAAAATCCAGAATGATTTACTGAGATTCCTGTAGAGACACATAAGCTAAGTGCACAGTAAGATGTGAGTTTTACTAGGGGTGGGCAGAGACTGTGAAGGTGAGAACATTTTGGAGTTTCAAACCAGTTACTGTATGGGGGTTAGAGGTGGCAAAGTGAAAAACCAATGCAATGAGTGCAGTTAAAAGATGCTGATGCTGATTGAAGCACAAGGGGTGCTGCCTTGAAGAAGGATGAAGATCTGGATAATAACTTAATAATCCATGGTGCAAATGCTTCGGTTTCTTACCATGGTCCGTGTTGTGTTGCAGGACATGGGAAGAACAGAAGGCAGAGCATGCTTTTCTAAAGGGGGCAGTGCAGAGTCAAGTCCAAGCCTATCCTGTCAATCAAGGACTCGGATCCAAAGGCAGTGCTTTCTGTTGGTGGACTTGGAATCGCAGTTTGTCTACACTGTCCTCTTAACAGTGGAGTCTTTTTATTTCCAACCTGCAAATTATGTTTTTATATTTGTTGTCACAGTGTGACAAATTTTTGTACAGTTGGTTTTAAGGTCTCCTCTGCCACTAGAGCCAGTAGGTTACAGCTGTTGATGTAACTGTAGCTGCAATTTTTGTGCAGGACTGAGAAACACAGTGCATTATTTATTGCGGAATCATTGCTGCTAAATAACTACTGTCTGTATAGTTAACACAACAGTTCCATGCCTGAAGAAGTTGCAATGGCTTTATAATATGTGAATGCATCTGTTTCTCTTGACAAAATGTTCTACTGCTGCGGGGTTTTTTTGTATTTCTTAAACTGCAGTGTTTCCTGGAATGTAAACATAGCTTTGCTTGGCTATAGGTGAGCCATCTTTAATGCTCTAAGTTCTTGGCACTTAATTCCTTATTTAACATTGGAAGTATGTGTTGAAATAGTTGAAAAATTATAATGCATATTATGTTTTTGAAAAGCACATGGTGTGAAGGTTGATTCAAACAAGTGAAAAGCAACTTTGATTTGCTCTCAGATCCTATGTTAGTTATCGATAAATTAGAGCATGGAGGCTGGACGTTTTGCCAGGCTTACTCCAGCATAACATATTTGCACATTGTTGTGCATATGAGGCCTGCAGAAACAATAACTTTTTTACCTTGTTTTTAACTTAGAAATACAAATAGTAAAAGGACAATTCACGTATGTTGGACCCTGGCTTACTTTTCATTACAGAGGAACAGGACAACTAATTAAACAAACATTGGAATAATGGCACACTTTCCCCACTTTGTTCCTCTCCCATTTGTGCATTATTCACTTGAAATCAACTGGAAAGATGCAAGTTTGTACTTGAGAAGAACTCACTATGCTACAGAGCTTTTACAATGGGAACTTAGAGAGTTTTTCAGATCTTAGATGTTACCTGTTTTCCAGAGATAGTAAACATATTACTACTATGCTTATGCATCTCAGTGAGTATCATAAGTACACCCTTGGTGATGGTTACAGTATTTTTAAGCATTTGTGTTCACCTTTATGAACCTATTTGTTTAGTGCATCTTAAAGAGACTGTAAATCTTTATTGGTATATTTTGAAATGGTCATGTAAATCTTTGGCTGGTATATCATGAAAATAGTCATAGGTAACTTAATTTTTCCTGACATTCACTGTAAAACGTTCAGGGGTCCTACCATTTCTGTTCAGGAAATCTTGTAGTTTATTGTTATTTAACAGTATTAAGTGAATTTTTGTATATTTCATTTTAACTTTATTTGTGAATAGTGATTGTGGCATGTTTGGGGGTGTTTTATTAATATTTCATTGATACTAGTAAATTTGAATTGGGATTTTTTTTTTTTAATTTTATTTTCTGGAAGAGAGAAATTCATGTGTAACGGTGACTATTGGACCACTACTGCTTTTCAGCATTTGTAAACCGGTTTTACGTTCAATCTTGTAGACCTAACAAACTGCTGTTATTTCTAACTGACCGACCTGTATTAATATTGTACTTTTGAAAGTATAAATATTATGTGGAATTCTTTGGTTTTGTTTTGAAATTTATAATAACAAAAGCCCTGTGTTGTTAAAAATACAGACTAAGTGAACTTGCGGTTCTTGGGGCATTGTTGGCAGCGTTTAGCGAGGTCCGTGTGTTGTGGCAGCCCCCAGGGTCACCTTTGGCTGCTCCTTTAGTTCCTTCAGGGCAGTGGCAGTGGCAGTAGCAGTGACGTGGTTCATCCGTGGCTGAGGCTGCTCAGGACCTTCTCAGTGGCGTGTCCCAGTGTCACTGCTGGTGAGCCAGCCCTGCGTGTCACCCGGCCTGGGAGCGTCACGCGAGGCTCGGACACGCGCGGGGCTCCCCTGATCCCAGTGCGAGCGCTATGGCTATGGCAGAGGCACAGTTGGCACTGATGAAAAACCTTGTCCTGAAATAGTTGTTATATATATTTTTATAGTTGCTATGGATCTGATCTAGATTTTATACCGATGAACTTTGTAGGAAATACGTTGTAGACGTGACAGTGTTGAAGAAAGAAGTGTCAGAAAAACATCTTTTTTACAGAAGTAGTGAAGATAGACTAAATGTTCCCTGTGGATAAATGTGTGATTTAGCATTTCTAGAACAGTAATACTTCATAGGTCATAAAAGAACAAGTAATAATGTGACACTAATGAGTAAAGGACTTAAAGGTTTACCTGATAAAATGAAGTGCATTAATAAACTTAGAAAGGGATCAGGCGCAGCTAACAAAAGGATGTTCCATCTTAAGTAGGAATTCAGCTTTTATGTTACAGATGAAAAGATCTTGCATAAAATTAAAGCAGTCTGTTTATAAAGAAATTTTTTCTAAGGACCTACAAGTGAATCTGTGTTCTTCATTAGGAGGTAGCTTTAAAGAACATATTTAAGAAACTTGCCATCTGTTGTCAAGCCAGTTTGGGGCTTTTTAAAATTGTCTGTTACTGAAATTCCTGCATCAGCAGAGACAGTTCTGTGGCAGTTGCCTGTTTGGGGCAGTAGTCAGCAAGTCTAAAGTTGCTGGGCATCTCTGACATTCTTTCTATGGAATTCTGTGCTCTGCCTCCTGTCGGGCAGAGTCAGGTACTACAGACTTGGTTTCACTGTCCCCAAAAACTTAAGAGTGTTGGCCTTTTTGGGGGAAGGCCTCAAGAGTGTCAAAAACCAAGCAGAGACTTGCTAAAAATGGATGACTTTCAGTGTTAGGTGTGACCACCTTTCCTTGACGATGAGTGATCAGTTAATGAGAAATGGCCTGCATGTCGTGGCTGATTTTAGGTAGTTATTTTTGATAACTGGTGTGTCCCACCTAGGCCAGGGTAGGGCTGGCCAGGTGTGGGTGTAGGTGTGTGTCAGAGTCAGGTGGGCTGGAAGCCAGGACAGAGGCAGGTGCTGGTGGTGTGGTTGTATTCACGTGCAGGTGAAGGTTGAAGGGGAGAGAGGGTGGGTGGAGGATGGAGATTGACAGGACAGGGTGGGAGATGGAAGAGGCAAACCAACAGCTCAGCAATGCTCTAGTGGAACGTGCTTCTCAACATGGCTGTGTTATTTTTGTGCTGCTTTACCACAGCATTAAGTAGCCAGAGTGTATCCCTGAATTGGGCAATAAAAGTTAAAATAAACAATTATTAAAGAATCAACATACTTTGTATTTGCAAATCATTTGAAAAACTGCAAAGTAGCATTCTTTGGGCTGCTTGCTTGTTGTTTGTGCATGAGTTTTTCAGTGTAATAAAGGTACATTTTTTCTGTTCTGCAATGTTAAAATGGAATTAAGGTTAAGAATACATTCTGTTATTGAGGACAAAATATATGAAAGGTATGTTGTAAATATCCTCAGGCTAAGTATTATAAACCCAGGAAATACTCAGAATTAAGGTCAGACTTTAAAGAAATCCAAACAAATCAGGGTATAGAAATACAGAGCTACAGCACATGATGACGCTGAAGAGAAATCAGAACTTGCCTTGTCCGTGACATGATCATTTTGTCTGATGAGCAGAGTTGAAGTAATTCATGCACCTTTTTAGCGTATTTCAGTACCTTATTTACCTTCAGAAATTTTGGCTTTAAAACAAATGTAACATCTCTGTGAAGTGCCTTTATTTTGGGAAGGAACTTGAATGCTTACTTGATGCAGTTTGGGGGTTTTTATATTTTCAGAGATTGGGCTGTTAAAAGATTCAATGCTCTCACTTGACCTTTGTGTACATCCATGTATGTCACCAGTATCCATGTCATACCAATGTAGGAGACTGGCAAGGTAACAAGTACAATTATGAAACATAAAGGAAGTATGTAGCAGTTGGAACATTGTAGGTAAGCTCTGACTGTACAGGTGGGATGATCGTGAAAAATATAAAAGCCAAGCCAGGTACATGGGCTTTGGAATTTCTACCTTGCACCTTCTTTCATCACATGGAGTTCAGCTGCACAAAAGTCATAGTCCCATTCTCAGCCGTAGTGGGAACCTGTTTTCACAACTGGGATTAGAGTTCATATATTCTGTATTGGTTTTTTTAATCTCTTGTATGTGACTTTTACTGGGCAATCCCTCTCTAAGTAACTGAGTAAAATTGATGTCAGAATCAATTCATGATTTCTGACATCAACTGATGTCAGAAAATGCATGTCAGAAAACGTGAATAGTTTCCGATCATTTTTGCATGTTTTCTAAAAACCCTTAACTCCAAGTTCGGTGACTTCAGAGCAAACTTAAACTGTGAATGCACACATACACACGTGCTACTGTGGTAAAGAACTGCTTAATTTATTGTGCTGGCTGCATCCTTCAAGCTCACTCAAGAAGCAGGCCTGCCTGAGCTCATCACTTTTACGGTCCTCCTAACGAAATATGAGTCTTACTTGGCTCAGATGCTCTGCCTTGAAATATATTTTTCCCCAGAGAGCTGTGAAGTTCCTTCATTTGTTGCAGTGGGATCTTTCTGCTGATGGAATTACCATGGCTGTGGATTGCTAACCAGGGAAAATGCTCTTCCCTGTCTCTTCTCCAGTGTGCTCCTGTAGAGCACCTCCCTCCAGGCCTTGCTTGGTAGCGTCTGTGCTGTCACCCACCCCTCCTCTTTCACACCCTGAGCTTGTTTTTTCAAAGACTGTTTTTTCCTTTCTTTACTGTCTTGTTATTTGATTTGCAGGAGAGGGTAGCTGGCCTGGAGCCATGTTAGGAATAATTAAGTTTACATTTATGCGTTTGCACTTCTTGCAGAGTGAATGTGAACTGATGGGAATCTTTCACAAAAGAACTCCAGCACATCCTAGAATCCTCTCTCCTAGGATGCTTTCTTCAAATACCAGCCCCAGTCCAAGGCAGGCCGTGATGCTGATTGCTCCCGAGTCCTTGCTTGAGGTTCATTCTGCTTTTTTCATTTAAATAAATTCATACTGCTTCTCACTCGTGCTGTCAGTCTCTTTGCCCTCAAGAAATAGGTTTGTACTCCATCTGTGCAGAGCACTCACACATTAATTCGTAGGAGCAGTTACAGTTTGGGGCTAAAACGGATTTTAAAAGTTGGTAGTCTTTTGACTTTGGAGGGTTATGCTTAAATCTGAGGCCTGTGTTTGTTTATCCTACAGGATATACAGACAGTCTGAAGATCAGAAGGGAATAGAAATGCCCTTACATAAAAGACTACGTGTACTTACTGTGCCTTTCCTAAATTCATTTGGGTGTCATGATGGCTTCTGAAGATGTTTCCCATAGGCACGAGATCACACAGCCTTTTAATGCAGAGGGTTGTTCTGTTAGAATTAACCCTATAGTCTTGTTGGAAAGGACCAGCTTTCCTTTAAACAGAAACCTTATTGACAGTTCTTCACTTCTTTGGTTGGTATTTCCAGATGGGGAATGAGCCTGTCTGATGAGACCAGTTTTAGTCAGACAAAACAAATCATTCTTTCTTGACATCATGAATGTGTGTCAGGTCTTTTGCTATAATTTATCACCTATCACTGTTTTCCCCACCTTGAAAGTTTTCTTTAGAACTGAAGCTTCTTACATGTGCCAGGGCCAAAGGTGTGCACAAGCTCTTGGCAAAGCTGCCCTGTAGCTGTGGCCCTCCTGGAGGATAACTTGTTTTCCTGAAGTAACAAGGTGCAGGTAAGCCAAACATACCCTAATTGTGCACCCACCCTGTACTATATATATACACATATACTATACCTATACCCAGGTAACTGGGAACTTCTTGTGTATTGCTGAAGCACAAATAAAGTGCAAATCTTGTAATAAATCCCCCAAGTATGACCAAATTGCAATTACTACCAAGAATACTGAAAAGATAATAACTCCCATTTTGTTCCCCAGGATTGTTGGCTTGGAGCTCTCCCTGCCACAGAAATATTGACACTTCCACAGTATTTATTTAAAAACATTTATTTTACTTTTCTCTACAGTTAAAAAGACACCTGTTAATAAAATTCAGTAGATTACCAATAGAATATTTTCTTCAAAGCATAAGGCATAACAGTCAAGTGTTTCATATAAGTGTTAGACTTGAGGGGCTGGACTCTATTTGTATAAATACTTCCCAATAGCAAAAACCTTTGTTCCACGTTACTTACTGATTTAGAAGGCAGATTTTGACAGCCTATTTTTTTCAGCTGAAAAGACAACTAGCAGAAGATGTGTTCTCTTGCTATTTTTATTCTCTCAAAGATAAGAAGACAGCATTTCTTCCCACTTTCTGTCTTCCATTGTTTTATTGGATTCTCTCAGATCCAGTAATTTTTTCAAATAGGATTTTGTCCCAGAATTTTTGTTTTCTGCTATCTTTAAAAAAAGTACAAAATCATTTAAGGGCTGGAAGATGAGAGGGGAGCTCTGAGTGTGTTGAGCCTTTTGGGAAGAAAAAAATCTGCCTTATTAATAGTAAAACCTTGGAAGAAATAAAATCATGGGAATCTGGGTACTTCTAAGAATCTCTTCTCTGTCACACACTCCCTCCCCTCATGGTCAACTGGTTTTTTGCAGTGTAATATTCCATACTAGTATGTCTTCATCTTTTTAAACTCAGAGTGAGAAACACCATCTCAATGTTGGGTTCTCCTGTTAGCTACAGTGGCACGTACAAGACAAGTCTCTATGCTGCTGTTCATGCCTTGTAGGTGTAAGTAGATATTCATGGGTTTTTAAAAATGAGGCAGGAGTCAGCTCTTTATGTGAAATAATTGCCTCTCTCTAACTTGTTGAAAAATATTCCATGTACCTGGGAGGAATGCATTGGAAGAGAAATGTTCAGTCTGCAAGCCCTTGTGATTTATCTCCACTAACCTTGTCAATCCCATCAGTTAAACACTGCCCTTTGTTCCAACCTATTCTGACTTTACTTTGTATAAAATTTGCATTCACTCATAAATTTTGCGTAGGTTCATTTTCTCTTTTTGACTCCGTGGGGTGGCACATCTTGAGCTCTTGAAACGCTGAGTCGAGCAAATGACGTCCCAAGTGCTTCATTTGTTCTCCTTATGTCTGGCATTCAATTGCTGTCTTTATCAGCTGGTACCTACATGGCTACAGCAGGTTTTTATCTCTGCAAGTGGAACTGTTGAGTAGTTTTTGGTTGTGCAACCCAGGAGCCTGAGGAAAATTCCTGCTGTCTTTTGTCAACCACCTCTGCCCCAAAAATGGCTTTTCAACATCAGAACTGCATTAATAAAATGTTTATTTAGCACCTTTCAGGTTGAAGGATCCAAAAGCACTTTACAAATAACTACACACATCATCACTGAAATGCATCCAAGCAGAAAATCAGCAGACAACTCACTGCATACATTTCAAAAAGAACAGACCATGGCCAGCTGCTCGGCCAGAAAGCAAAGTTGAGGTTTGAATGACCTGTCACAAACAGGGATCGGATTTGGGGTTGGCTTTTAAGGACTCATCTGAAAAACCGACACAGTAAAGCTGCATTCAAGCCAATTTAGCCACATCAGGAAAGTGAAAATTTGCATCAGCCCTGCCAGGATTAGAGTCTGTGGTGCCAGGGAGTCTGGCCTAATCCTAACCTGACATTTAGATGACTAAACCATCCCCTCAAGGTAGAGGACATACCCAGTAAACTCAAGTTGCAAGTATATAGTAACACAGTGCTTTTTTTTCGTCCAGAATTCAGCTGTTTATACATAAACATCCCACATGTAGAGTCTCTGCCTCTTTGCAAGCACCAGGCATCAATTTACAGACCTGCAACTTTTCCAGCTTTGGGGGAAGGGGAAATGTGACCTTCTGAGCTTGAGTAGCTACAACAGTCTTTCCAGGGAAGTTGTAGAAGGCACTTGGCACAGCTGAACAAAGCACCTGGAAATTATCGGGAATGATCCTCATTCCTTGGGAGGACAAAGATTACCTGCAGTCTTTCCAGACATAATGTTGACAGTTCATAAGAAGTATAGGCCAAATAAATTCTGAGCAATGTCTCCTTTTCTACAGAAGTACTCTCAAATGCTGGAAACGTCTCATGAACATACACAGCCCAGCTCCTCCTTGTTGCAACTTGACAGAAGAACTTGGGCATAAATGTGTAAATGTGGCTTTGTTATTCTGAGCTACATGTCCTGGCTGTAACAAGGATTATGTTTTCCACTTCAGCAAAGGAAAATTATAAGGCTAGTTTTATACAATTTGAAAGCACTTAATACAAAGTTACATTAATACACTGCATCATATGGCCTATCTGTGGAGAAAATACTGAAATACTACCATAGGGCTGTTCAATACTAATTTTTTTCTTTCAACTTTTTATCTTAATACTAGAAAATATATAAATCATTTACATGACTTTATGCAAAAGAAGGCACAGCCGGTTATAGTTTACACAAGCGCAATGCATAATATGCAGAAAAAGGGATTAAAAAGAAGCTTCACATCCCTAATAGATACATTGTTGCAATCCATTAAGAAAAGTACTTCATCAACAACAGAAGTGTTCAACACTTGAGAGCTATGATATAAAAAAATTATAATTCATTTAATGCATAACAGATTTATATATACTTTTATATATAAACACTGTTGAAAAATGCTAACATAATAAAAGTAGATTATCCATGTAATGAAAAGTGCAAACCAAAGTAATAAAGGGTTTCACAATGTCCTTCTCATGACACAGGAAAAACTAGCCCATAGGAATGAAGTGTTAAATCCACCAATACATCCTTGGTGTGATGAGGCATCATCAGGATTTCTGAGCATTTGGAGAAAGCAGTATTGGTGAAGAGGCTCTGTCCAGACTGGGGAGTGGCACTGGTATGTGACCATTTAGCAGAGTTGGAAACTGTAAGAGGCCAAAAGGTAAAAATTAGTCTTTATCTCAAAACATTCAGCCCAAGAAGCACCTGGATTTAGCATTAGCAACTGGCTCCAGATGGTTTCAAGAGTTGTGTTGTCTATACAATAAGACATCTCTACCAAATGCCTGCATCAGCCATTAGGAATGCAAGATAGAGGACAAAACCTGAATAATTTGTAAATGCACGAGGATATAAAAACCTGTTATTGGCTCTTTTATATATAAATGTTCACATAATACATTTATCATCACCCTGGAAAAGTGAACACTACAGAGCAATCTTTGCCATCCATTCTGTTTCCGAAAGTATTTTTTCAGTTTACACATTATTAATTACAATACATCCTTTTTGTCTTTCTTTTATACAGGAAAGAGTTTGGCAAAAGTGAAAGTTCAGGTGTAGTTTTATGGCAGAAAAAGTATACCTGGGGATACAAAGTTTGGGGAAAATTACTCTCAAGTAATTACAGTTTCTATGTCCACTCACAAACTACAAACTAGCTCCACCATTCAGCAGGTGAAGCAGAACGTGTAATGATTTATTGTGGCGTCATTTATTGTCACCTGCTGCTTCAGAAGTGCTGTGCACAAACTTTATTCTTACTGTATATTCCTAGTTCACAACGGCATCGTGACTGCACCTTGCCTGCAGGGTGGGTATTGACTAGCTCTTAACATCTGACCTGACAAAAAAATAAAGCAAGTAGGTGGAATAAACTTGCTGCAGCATGAGGCAGGAGTTATCCCAGTGGTAGATACTGATCTGGCCTCGAGATCCAGCTCCATGAGCTGTGCTGCGTTTCTGTTGGCTTGAGGAAGACAGAGCTGAAATATCTCATTCAAGCATCTGGTGTATTTTTACCCCTTATCAGATCAGTCCTTGGACAGCCAACTGTGGTGTAACCACGCCTTCCACGTGCATATAATAACGTGCTCCTAACAAGTTTCCTCTTCCACTTAGATGGTGGTTGGTGATTCCTGTCTTCTACCACTCCATGTAAAGCTGGGCCAGGCAGCACAGTGCTGCAGGGCACCATGCTCCTGGTGTGGCCCAAACTGCCTGATGCCTCTGCTTTAACCACACCAAACCTCAGGAAATGCTTCCATCACTTCTGCCAAGAGCCATTAAAACACAGAAACTGATTACAAGCTCTTCCCTGGGTACGCATGGAGCGTGGCCTGGCCTGTGAGGCAGCCTGAGGAGAGCTTTACCCTGCCACCTACACTGGCTGACCCATCGTGGGCTTGGCCAGAATTCAGCTGTGGCTTTTGCTTCCTATTTGCTGTTAAAATAAGGCTTTGTGCTCTACTGCTTGTCATCATGGCATTTGTTTGAATCAAACATCATTTACAAGGCCCTTTGGGTCTCTCAGCAGGGAAAGCCAAGGGCACTTCTCACTTTCAGTTCCCCCAGGGAATGGCCAACATGTGTCTGTACAAACTCATTCCAGGTCTCAGCCCAGTCACTTCTCGGGGGAAATGTCTGGCCATTTCTAACCATGGGTGCAAAACCAAGGTCTAGTAGGGACTAATGAGTTTATTGGAAACACAAAGGAGCCCTGAGCTCCATGTGCAGCTGGAGGTAGAAAGACTGATTATCCCAGTACCTGAGCAGCTCCTTGAGCTGAAGCCCTGGATTTGGGCAGTCAGCCTTCCTGAAGGTTCAGAGACTAATACAGGGTCCCTGTCTAGCAGTAGCCTTCTCCTCTGTTAGTGCTGGCCCTCCACAGCCATTGGGGTGTTCATTCCAAGGGTGTCTTTGCACCTTCAGCTGTGCAGATGGCCATTGGGTTTCTTGCCAATCAGCAGATCAACATAATTTCTTCTGTGACTTAATGAATCAACTGTACTGCAGCAGCTACAGCTGGAGCTGCAAATACCATGCCCACTGTCTTCTTCCTGAGCCTCAGACAAATGCTGCAGCTGAGTGCTGTGGCCATTGTGGATTATTTAGTAGCTTTGTATTTACCACATCTCTATAAAACTTTGAGAATTTTACTCTGCCAACACTCAGGAGAGAGTGGACACAATGCTGCCTTTCTGCTGTTACATATGGCAAGGTCATGCCCAGAGGTGTGTCTTTGGTTGAGGACACATGGATAACTGGCAGGACAGCTGGAAATGGAGCCTCTGGGTTCAGAGAGCCTTGTCCTTCTGAGTGAGAAATAGCTCATTAGGACAAAAGGATAAACCTACACCCATCTCACTGGGTGAGATCCAAACTGTCTTGGTGTTCCCAGAGTCTTTGTTCCAGCCCTCTCCTGGCAGGTCACTGGTCTGCACTCTTCCTGCAGCTCTGAGCTCTGTTACCTGCTCTCTCCAGGGTCCAGCATTTATTTCTCTTTCCTTCACACAATGTATGTGTGCTTTCTGCAGCAGACACTGCCCTGTAGGTTCTGACTGTGCTGCCAAGGGTTGGAAGAGGGTACAAATAAGTAGGCCTCTTTAGAAGTGGTTGTTAATGCCCGTATTTTCTTGATCTGTTTGAAAAGCTCCAGACTGATGTGAAGAGATGTTCCCACAATGTCTCTTCCATATTTGTGCATTCAGAATGATACCTGTGCATTGGGAAGACCTACCTGGAACAGAGTGTTTGGTCCCTGCAGCCTGGCAGGACTCAGAGGAGCAACAGGACTGAGGCTGCTCCAGAAGTGAATGCTGGACAGCAGCGGGCTGGGGGTCAGCAATAATCCATTGGGGGTCTGCAAGACAAAAAACACACCATGATGCACAGCTCAAAAGTTACAGCTCCATGCAGCGCTCACCACCTCTAAAGCCTTACACAGCATCTACTGGCTCTCTTTTCCAGTGAATTCAGACAAACAGCATGTTCGGCAGCAGCTGCCCATCCAGCCCTGCATCCTTTCTCTGGATACCTGCACATTTCACATTCCTTCATATGCAAATTGATTTAATTTCTGTCTGCTTAACAAGATGCACAGTTATTGTTTATTTGAACCACGCTCCTGCAACTGTGTAACATACAGAATAATATGTGCGTGTCCCAGTGCCTGCCAACACCACCTAGGCTCCTTCAGAAACAGTAGAACCTTTTGAAGGGCAGCAGTTCCTTGACCTGACTGCAGCTTTTGAGGCATTACTACAGTTGTGTGTGGAGCTGAAAGGGTCACTGCTGGCCTGTGACGTTTCCTCCCCTGATGGCACCTTCTCTGTAAAGGAAGAGGGTTCAAGAAGCTGGCAAGGCATGGGCTGAGCAGGGAGAGACACGTGTCCCAGGGGGACAGCAGAGAGCACAGCTAATTGTTTGAAAAGAACCAAAATGGCAAGAACTTAGAATCCAAGGCTTTTCCCAACTCAGAGGTGCCTCCTTCCAGTGCCACAATGCACAAGATTTGCTGGGATTGCCCTCAGCATTCCTAAAAGCACAATTAGAGGGGAGGTAGAGTTAGAGCACATGCAAATCTTCATTCAAATGAAGAATTATGTGAATAATTCTGTATCCAGAATAACTTTTATCAGGCCAAAAAAAGAACATGTGACACTTTCGAAAAAAGTATTTGGCATAATGAGTTAATCTCACCAGTAATCTTGATGCCAATTATCAAAATCAGTCCTATTTAGCAAAGCACTTAATGGAATTTGAGTACACACTTAGCAAGCAAGCACGTGCTTTGCTATGTCAAACAACTGTCTGAGTGTTCTGCTAAGCTGGGGCATCCTTTTGTCCAGAGTTTAAAATACATAAAGAGAAGACAGAAGACAGAGAGTACCTGCATCTCCCTGCAGTAACCAGCAGGTCATGTGTTCTGGTGCTCCCCACCAGGCCAGAAACACAAATTACCATGCAGGGAGGGCAGTTGCAGCCGGGGGTGTCCCTTACAGCTGCTGACACCAGGGCCATCACACCTGCTCAGTGCCAGCCCCTGCAGCCAGCAGGCTCACACAGGCACTGCCATGGTTCACTGCATTTGGAGTGCCAGATTCACCTGCCCAGCGGTGCCCAAGGCACCAGCCACAGTGTCTGGGGCTCAGGGCAGGCACACGGAACACGGACCTGCTGTGGTGGAGGTGGATCAGAAACACCAAACCCCATGGAAGAAACCATGTTTGTCCCAAGGAGTAATAAACCTGTGCTAGTAAATCAGCAGGTCACAGGAGTACCAGTCAGGGTTGGGATATATCTGCATGCCAACAAAAGGGCAAAGAGTGGGTGGAGGCCTGGCAAGGAAGAAACATCAGTCTTAAGCTCATCAAGTGACAGCTCTTGTCAAAAAAAAAAAAAAAAAAAAAAGCAAACAAGAAAAACCAGAACAAACAAAAAACCAAACCAAACAAACAAACAAAAAAACTTGACAAGCAGGCACTTGTCAAGAGTCCTTTACAAACACTCTCTTTCCAGAAGCATGGTGCTTTCATGGGGAAGGAAATCAGCAGCACCAGCAAGAGCCCCTCTCCTGTTCTCCTGTGCCACATTTCAAGCTGATGCTCCACTGGCAGGCGGCTGCTGGTGGAGATTTAAGAGACTGACAACACACTGAATTAGGTCAGGATAAATACTCAGATCTACTTACAGAAGAGCCTACTAACCTTAAAACCAAAGATATAAGTAGCTAGACCCAACAACATTCAACCAAGGACAAAGTACTGTGGCAACTGTACCAAGAACTCCCCTGGTTAGCCTCCATTCTTTATTTTTTCTCTAAGAAGCTGCAGATATCTAGAACTCAAAGTGCAGTTCTTGAGGAGTCTTCTGAAAATAATGAGGAAGACTTGGAGATGTTTTTTCCTACCTAGATGCAGCCAAAGCAAGTCTTCAGAGAGACCTGAAAAACTGAGTTGCCCTCCATTCATCTCTGGAAGCACACTGACATGTCTAAAACAGTGCTAAGCAAAGGCTCATATTCTTTGATGAGCAGAGCACTCTGCAAGTCTGCAAGTTCTGCCAGAACCAAGAGCCAGCCAAATGAAGCCTCCAAATCTGTTTAATATTTAATGCAAAAAGAGCACAGGGCATCCCAGGCTTGTTCTCAAGTATTGCCATCAGTCAAGTATCAAAACCACCAGAGGAAATCTAAGTGTAAACAACACCACAGGACAGCCTATCCCTAAATTACATGCAAAAATTGATGTGTCACTTCATTTTCTGCCCACATGCAGACATGCATCTGGTATTAGATGTGAAACCCATTGGGAAGTTCCTACTTGTGAAACATCACTGTAATCTAAGCACAGGAACAGTTTAAATAGAAATAATTCATTGCACAGAGAGGATTCTGTTAAGCATTGATGCTCATGCCTCCTGACTTCTGTGACAATGTGTGTAAGTACAATCTTGTCACTTCAGCTGTTAGAAAGCAGGCAAGTGCTGTCACACATACATTTCTGTTCTAATACTGATTGTGTGTATCATGTGCCCTTTCACGGCATTCCACCTGAGGGTAATTCCTCATGACCAGCAGGTACAGTGGAATGCCATTTGAAACATCCTCTCAGGCAGCAGGACCATCTCAGAACAGACATCACTCCTGCAGCAGACATCCTATTCTGCACCTGCCCCTGGCAGCAGGTGTTCACACTGGGATCTGATAAATCAGAGAATGTTTGAGATATGATGCATGTTCTTCGTTGGACAATGGGATGAACATCAGATTTCCTGTCTAAATTATGGCTTTAGCTATTCTGCATTGTGATATTACAGTTATCTGAATACAGCTGCTATGTAGTTTTCATTTTATATTCACTAGGACGAGTGTTTAGGATGCAGGGTGCTTCTTATCCACACTAGAAAAAGAAGGCTAAAGGAGAGGATAAAAGCTATGTTGCTGTATAGCCAAAAGTTTAAATAATTAGACCCGGGAACTACCCTACACAGATGCCATATGTCTCTTCTGTGATAGGACAACTTGCAAAGATTTGTGATGGCTTTAAGTTGGGTAACATTCATCACAGCCTTAGCTATCCCTCCTGCTACAATCCTCAACATAATTCCCTTCTACATCTTTCAGGGGAGTAAGTACACCAGTTCATAGGTGCATGGGAAAGTTAAATATTCAAAGAAATAATTACAAAACCAGGAAACAAATCTCTGTTCATCCTGTGGTTTGGGGGCAGCAACAGATAAAAGTGGGTTTGAAGTAACTCACAGTGTCATTGTGTCTGGTTTGCATCTGATGTTGTCAGATTTGCTCCCTATGAAAAAAATACTGTGGTTATACCACAGTTAGAGGTTGTAAGTTTGTCAATGCATCTCAGTTTTGGTTTGCCACACTTCTGTTCTTCCTGCCAAACATAACTTCACTTAAAGGCTTTGTGATGTCAAAAATGGCAGGTGTCAGCTCACAAACTGCTATTTTTGGTGACACAGCTTTGTATCTTGGTGGCTTACAGGTGTGCCTGAGCTGCACAAACTCACTCTGCAGCCAGCTGACAAGCTCAGGAGAGCAAATGCTGTGCTGTGCTGGCTGAGAGCACTTGCCAACACTCCCTTCTGCCAGCCCTTGTGCCGTGCCGGCACACAGTGCTGCCCACATTAAACACCTCCAACACCTTCAAACAGGGAAGAGGTGATGGGATTCTGGATACCATGGGTCTTCTAGGCAGCCTGAAGTGAGTGAGTATCGTAATATGATCCCAATATTACCGGGTGGAACGTGCCTGGGCTCTTCTGGCCCTTGCTGCTTCACCAGAGGCGGCAGCTGTGGTGGTTTCACCTCAGAGACACCCCTGGCTGGCTGGATGCTGCAGCTGGCACATGGAACAAGTCCAGGCAAGCAGGAATTCAGTTTTTACCTCTAATGGAAAGGCTGTAGGTGAGGTGAAGAGGAAAAGGAGACGGATTCTGCCGGAGGGTTAATCCAGAGTTTTATTCCATGGTCACAGATCTCTGAATCTTGGTAACAGCTCCAACAGAATCCCGACCGCATGGTCCCGTGTCTTTTAAAACCCAGGGAAAAGGGGAGGGGAAGGGGTAGGTGAGCCACCAACCAGGTGGGAGGGGGGCAGTCTCAGGGGACAATGACACCTAGACTGGCCAGTGACCCCAGGGCTGGGAAGCATCTTTTGAACTGCACCAACCAGACCACGCCCTTGCTGGAATGTTAAGATTGACGGACAGCACTTAGCAAGGGGGCAAGGGGGAGGGGAAGGGAGAGGTTGGCATACCTGAGGGGCTGGGAAAGGTGAAACAGGATATTGCTTCACACTGCAACAAGTGAGGGCTTGTAACACACCTTTGTACTCATTTATTTACTGCCCACTTTGCTACATTCAATGCCAGTATTTGCATCAAGTGCTACTTCAGGGCTGGGGATCTTGGGGGATATTCCACACTGGGATAATTTTATTCTTGGATTATTTTTGGTCTAATTTTGAGGTGGTATTGTAAGACAAAACTCACCAATGAACATCCTGAGTCATATCTATACGATTTTACCCTTCTGCTCTGAACTCCTAAGCTTTTTTCATAGACTAGCTTGAAAATGAGAACTCACTGTTGACATTACCACAAATATGTTATTAAAAAGAACAAAATAACCTTCTGGTTATTCAATAGTTCTGTGCTGAAGGGAAGCTCTGGCAAGTACTCTGTGAATTTGTACATTAAACTAACTTCAGAGCCTGTCTTAGAAACCACTTAATTTGCTCTGTGTTCAGAAATTAACAAAAAGTTCACACTGTTTGAATGGATTCCAACATCTAGTAGAGAAATCTAACCAAGCATCCCACATGCTCAAGTTGTGACCTACAAAACCCCTGTGGTTTTCTTTTTGGCTTTTTCCTGTTTGTTTTGTAGATCTGGAGGCTGGTTTAAACTGATAAACAATTAATTAATGGCTGCCCATTTCCTTATTCTTTCAGGCAGTCTGTGAACTGTGATGGATTTCCCACACTCAATTAGGAACAAACCCCAGGAGAAATCCACTTTCCACCCCTTGTTCAGAGCACTGCTGCATTTCCCTCTTTGCCATATGTTGGGGTTTTCTCCCACCAGATGGTGACAGACCCACAGAACTAACAGTGTTGGCCACAAGGAGGAAATGCCTGGAGACAGGCAGGTCTTACCTGTGCAGTGAAGAAAGCTGGAGTCAGGGATCCCGAAGGAAGCGCGGGGCTGTTGAGGGCAATGGAACCGATGTCAGTGCTGGAGAGAATCATAGGTGGGGCAGAGATTTCCAAGCCTTTGGGTTTTTTAGCCTTTGGGGGAAGAGATGGGGATTTGGCCTTGGAGCCTGAGGAGAGGTTCAGAGGCTCAAGGGAATCTGAGTCGTGGCAACTGGAGTCAAGGAAGAAGCTCTTGTGTTCTGTAGGGAGGGGTGAGGTGGGAGACAGAGATGGTGACCTGGAGGAGGATGATGATGGAGATGAAATGCTGGCACTGTTGGGTAGCATTAAGGAAGATATTTTAGCTGATACTGAAGAGTTGAGGAAAGCAGAGGCAGCTGCTGTTTCAGAAGTAGAAGGCAACGACACCATGGGCCTCGTAACTTGTTTGTCTGTTTTGTTTGTCACAAATCTGATAACAGTTCGGACTTCTTCAACTGGTGTGTTTCCTTCTGACTTCTCCAGTTTTTCTGTTTTGATGGTCTTGTAAGGGTCTGGCTGGTTCTGCAGGGAGTTGATAGTGAAAGAGGAGTAGAGGCCAGAGTGGATATATTCATTACGGCTTGTGCTTTTCAGTGCTGACAAGCTGTGCTTGTGCTGATCCCTGCTCTCCGGAGGCATCTTACAGTCGCTGTCCTGCAGCAAAAGGCTCTCTCTGCTGATTTCCACAGCATGGGGATCCATTTTTAAAATCTCAGGAAAGGAGACAAACTTGTATACAAACTTTTGTCCGATCACTTTCTTGATGATGTTCTGCAAATACAAAGAAGGTGCTAGAAAGATCAGTGTTTCAGAGGCGGCCAGTACTGCACACACAAGGGTGGGGGGCACTGCCCCCACATAAAGCTATGCAGGTCATTTTGTGGGGTTCCAAATGCTGATCACCCTTGGCTTATTCCAATACCTCTCTCTGCTCAGCCAGGGAGTCCACTCCTGACTCCTCATGGCTTCCAACAAAACCACCATCACTTGGTGATGAAGACCTACTGGTGGCCTGTTTCACTTCTGCTATCTCTGAAGCAGCTTGGGAATATTTTCTTTCCAGTAAAAGCAATTCTGCTGTCTTGTGGATTCAAGCCATGCCACCACTTACGTTCCACAATAAATCCAAACTTCATGCCACCTAAAACTGACACCAACACCTGAGGATGAAGTACTCTCAGAATGTCTGCAAGGGACAAAACCACCTCAGCCTCCTGGCCCCAGTTATTTACCCTCTGTTCCTTACCACATAAGGAAAGGATTGAGCTAAACTTATAGTGACTGTCTTTCTGTCAATGATCGTGAACTTGTGTCTGTGAAAAATGCAACCCCTTGCATAGGCTGGAAAAGTACTTGTGTCCTGCAATAACCCCTGCACCATCTCCAGGCTGGCATTAGGCTCAGGATGCTCACTGGTGCAGGCAGAAGGTTTTCATCAGTCTAAACTGACTACGGAAATTAATTATTGAAAAAGTCCCAAACCTCTCAAATGTTTGTAGAACCATTTATTTTTTTCTTGAAGTGTTCCCTTTATGTAAAGAACTGATTCTTTTGAGACTTTTTATGAGCATCCTGTTTCTAGTCCCAGTGCTCCTCCTGCATACCCAGGTTGGCTGCTTGCTCTGACACAATTCCCAAGGGTATGTGAGCTCCTCCACAAAGGCACTTTGTGGCACAGGCCTGGCTGAGGGACTGGAACATTTACTACCCTAAGCCAAGTGCTGCAGAACAAAACAAGAAATATGTCCTGAGATTTCCGTGCTAATTTCTCTCTTCTTGAAACCCCTGGTGGAGAGTTTGTTAAGTTTTCTCTGAAAAACCCTTTCCAAGAGACTTCCCTTTAGTCCAGCACATCTGCTGCACCTCCAGCTGGTATTCTGCAGACATCTGCTCTGCTGTACATATGGGAATGTAAATATTTACAAATTTCCTAAAAATCTAATTGGTTTTTCATTCTACCACAGCTTCTGACACCAATAGTGGAAACATTTGTTAAGCTGACTGAAAATGAAACAGAAAATTAAGGAAAAGGAAAAGAGACATCATCTTTCTCTATATATAGGCAACAAGTAGTTCTGGGTGCTTGTACTGCCTGCACTACACCTTGCTCAGTCACAAAAGCAAGGATCATTTTGTGAAAGAAGAATCTGCACTTGAGTATCAGAACCTTTTCTGTCCTTCAGCTGAGCTATTTCACTCTGTAATTCATCTGTCTGAACGTCCTGGCATTTCATTCAGGCACCTTCTTGAATACAAAACTAACCCTACAAAAGAATGAATACAAAAGAACCCTGGGATGCAGCTTTGCATCACAGGTCAGGGGCTGTGGCACAAATAGAGGATGTTGTTTCCCAAGGCGATAACAGGGATCTGTAGCAAAGAGAAGAATTAAATTCAACAAGTTCAGACTAAAGGCACAAACTTCCCTCTTCCATGCTGAATTGTACATACATCTACCCACCTGGCAGATGCTGCAGTGTCTTTTTTTGCCCTCCAGAGGTTCAGGACAAATAGTTAGCCCACAGAATCGCAATCTGCATTGCTTTAATTCCCATGGCTTTGGGCTTGGGTTTTTTTCTTCATTGCTAATTAGGTGCAACATTGGATGATTGCACTTTTTCTGCACTCTCAATATTGCCTTCTCTTTCCAAAGAGCAAAATCTCTAAACTACTCACATATGAAAAAAAACCCCATCCCAACTGGATTTTTGTTTCCTTTCTTTTATATATATTTTTTTAATATTTATATTTTAATTTAAAATAATGCCTCCCCTCTGCTCCTGGCATCTTTGAATTATTGCTAAATCAAGCACTAGCAACTGAGATTCTCCTTGGAAAATGTGACTCCCAGCAGAACAAGATTAAATGTATTTAAGGATTGCACTTTTACACTGATGCAGGCTTGAAACAGGGGAACAGTGCTATAAAAAGCAACTGAACGGACTGGTGAGTTTATACTTCCTTTGTTATTATTAAATACAGTTATATTTTAAGAACATTGCAGTGCTGCTCCTCCAACTCTGTCAGCCCTGCAGCAAAGGCCCACTTAACGATGGCTGGAGATGAAAAGATTCAAGTGCAGATCCCTCAAGCACTTTGCAGGCTTCTCTTAAATGTGTAGCCTGAGGAAATCTCCATCGGCATGCAAGAGAAAATAAGGACACAAATTAATGAAGTGCCTCGGAAAGGCACTGACTTTTCCATATTCTTTTGACAAATAATTGAAGGTAAAAAGCAGCATATTTTTACCATCATCTCAGTGATCTGTCAGAATCATTCTGAGCTATGACAGTTCAAACCACAGAAGACAGTGTCAGGCACCACAACAAGCAGTTTGAAAGGACAAAGAATTGTGCCTTCCTGCATCTGCAGGAACACTAGACCACTTGCTTGGTAGCAGGACAGTAAGTGTATGTGAACATTCAGCCCTATTTTATTGTTGTTGTTTGAATTTTCTAGGTAAATTCCCTCATGAACAGGCTTGCAATGAGTGCTAGTGGCTGCTGGCCAGGGCTGCAGGGAGCCAAGGTAGGACTGCTGGGCCCATGCAGCTGCTGCAGAGAAGAAATGAGCAATTGGGACAGGAGCAGGGGCTCCACTCCAACAGCTTAAAAATAAAAAACCTTATCAAGAGACAGCACTCTGACAGTGAGAGAGAGGGCAGGCAGTAAGGAATGCCCCTCTTCTGTTGGCTTCTTGAACACTTTACACTTCCCCTCCTCTGGCCCCAGAGTACAAAACAGTGACTACAGCAAACGTGCCCAGCCCACCCTGTGGAGAGGTGCTTGGAAAGCCGCAGTGCCTGCTGCCTGCTCCAGCACATCAGCCCTGCTAGGGAGCTCGTTCACACCCCAGCACTTCAGGACCTTGCTTTATGAGCCCTTCCAAAAGCAGCCTCACCGGAGAGCTCCGAATCATCAGCTGCAGGGATGGCTCTCTTCTGCCCCTGTCCTCCACAGAGCAGCTGGCTGAGCTGCTTCTCCCTGCAGCTTCAACTGGACTATCCTGGGGAGGGGTTGTGTCAACTATGCACCACTGAAATCCATCATGTGTTTGGGTTTTATTTTTATCAGCTCTGACTCCTGCTCCGTGTTTGAGCCATTTAGAGCAAGTGTGTAACTATACTACCAGGGTGACTGAAGCATTTTAGTGGCTTGGCCCAAACCTGTTAGCTAGAAAGTTTGCTGGCTGCAGGAGCCACTTGGGAGAATGATCTGGGACGTGGGATTCACTTCCTAGTCAAACTTCTGACTAATGAGGGATCTCAGGAGCAGGAAGACCATTTTTCCCTCTTTCCGGAAGTGACCTATATAATCAGGATGCCCAAGACTCACAATTTATGTGAAACAGCAGAATGAACTTGTCTGTAGGTACTAGACATCCCTGGTCAGAAAAGAAGAAAGACCAGAGCTGTAGCTGCTGCTCCTACATCCCACTTGGATGTGTTGCAAGCTCCCTGGCTCTAAGAGTACTGAGGGGTGCAACACATGTAGGAACACAGGTTATGAATCCCTCCCAGAACTCTATCCAGGCTGCTTCCAGCTACTGGGACCCTACCCAGACAGGGGGCTGCTCACACTCCAGTGTCTGAAGTACACTTGCTGGCAGGAGGTACCTGAGCAGGATGGTCTACTCTGGAAAATGGGAGTGTGTCCACATCAGCATGTGCAGGCAGGCAGACTCTGCTAGCATCACAGGTTATGCAGTAATGCTTTGTACACTGTGTGTGCAGAAGCCAGATTTTGTAACATTTTTGATGCAGGCACAGGTGCCACTACCCTGTGCACCTGTACTGACCTTTGAAAGATCAAGGCTCCCATTTAGCTGGATTTCAGTCTTTCTTCACTCACCTCCAGCTGGAAGATAAAGGCTATTTCTCTGGCTAGCACCTATGACCAGGTTCTCTGCTCTCTATACTGCAGGTGACTGGACATCCCTTTCCTCTCACATCAAACATGAACTGTTTTATGTGTCTTTTTGAGGCAATTGTTCTTGGGCTTTCTCCTCTACCCATCACCTCTTACTGAGCATCAAATCCTTTACTCTCATCTTTCCATATGGATAGCACTATATAACCATTTATGCCACTTCAGCCAAGCACTTTCTTGACTTCCACAAATCACTCTTGGATGAATCTCCTTCCAGTTTTCTGTAAAGGTACTTTCTAATGTCTCTTAAAGTACTTCCTTGTAACACCTCTGACCTGCACCACCACATAGTGTAGAGCTGGTAGTCCAGGACAATCACACTGCTTTTGTTTCATTGTAGGATTCCATTTCCCCTGAGATGTCTTAGAGAAGACCTTCCCAAAAGTAAAGTAATAATTTTCATTATCCTGAAGTATATCCTCATTTATATCCTGAAGTTCAGAAAGCAACCAAGCAAGAGAACCTCCCCCAAAACAATTCTTCCATGCTTCCACCCACACTTGGACATTAAAAATACAAACTAGTAACCAGGTTACAGGGTTTGACCAGGGTTATGGGAGGGGAGTGAATGCATTGGCACCTCTGAATCCTGAAAGCACCTGAGAAGCCCTGCACTGCAATGAGCACAAAGCAGCCCATATTAATTTAATACTATAAATCATGCTGCCAAGCCATCTAAACAAGTGGGCAGCCAATAACTGAAACTAAAACTGACTGAATAGCAGACTGAATAGCACTCATTGAGTAAAGCCTTGGGCTACATACTGTTCAAAGAACATGCAAAAATATTGAATAGCTGCTCATCACAACAGTATGTGACTGTATAATTAAAGATGCAGCATAACTCATGCAAACATTAGGGTTATCCAGGGAACTGTGATTCTTTTATTTCCTAACTTCTGAGGACTTGATTTCCACATTCCACAACCTCTACATCTTATTGATGTCAGTATCAGCACGTAATTTCCTGGATTCACCCTCCTTCCCTCAGAAAAAAAACCTCATGGGAAAAATGACTGGCCTCTCTCTTGTGGTGTCATCGTGAAATATTCATAGGGACGTGCAGTAGTCTTGAAACCCCTGGTTTCAAGACTTCCAAAAGATATGTGCCATTACAGCTACCATAAAAACAAAATAACTGGGTAACCTGAGGGAAAAAAATAAACTTATTAACCCTACTCTTATAGGTATTTTACTTCAAGCTGAAGTGCTCTGTGTGGGAATAGTGCTGAAGCATTTTCTTGCCTGAAAGCATTGCAAGAGATTTCTGACTGGCAAAAGTGTGTGACATGATGGACACAAGCTGTAGGTAGAGTGCAGGATGCCTTTCCTCAGTGCTATCTGTCATCTGTGCTGCTGCTCTGTTGAGGCAATAGGAGAAATGCATTAAATAAAATATGAGGGTGGGGGGAAGAATTTGGGGAACAAATGAAACAGGAAATGGAGTCTTCAGATTATCTACAAACATTTAGCAACTATAACCATGGCAGCAAATTACAATCAAGACATGCCATACTCTACATTTCCTGGGGTGCTTTTTATGTGACTTTAACATAAATCTAGCCATCAGCCTCAACAGCATGTCATGCTTGCTTTCAAAGCCAGGCTAAGGAACTTGTCCTAATTGTGTTATTTTTCTCCAGTACTGGAATTAATTTACTTTTAAGTTCAGATGAATCAGATGATGAATTTTAACAAGCCACTGTTCCCCCCAAGCAAAAGGCAGAGCTCATAAACCCCCACTTATCCAGCAATCAGGTTTTATTTCTCCATGGTGAATAATTTCAAAGATAGACCATGAAACATTAGTTAGTTCAGTGTCAACTGTATGCAGTAGGAGCAGAGGGCAGTCCAAGAAAGGAAGGTCCAGCCCATGTGCTACCATAATTTCTAAAAAATCACTGACCCTTGTCTCAAACTCACATGCTGCCAGATCACTTAAGTTATAGGAAGAGAAATTCCTGTCAATAATTCCATGGTGCAAGTGAAGTCTTGTCCAGAGTTCTGCCTCATCTTTTCTGCTGCCACTCCCCCATCTGCAGCTCAGTGTTTGTCACATTTGTTCAGTGTGCATCATCCCATTTGCCCCGGCACCCCCAGCTGCCAACACATCCATCATTGCACACAAGTAGGGAGGGGACAAGGATCTCAGAAGGCTCCTTAAAGCTACCTCAGAGTCTAGACTGCTTTTGGGCTTATCCCACAAATTGGTGAATGGTCTAAAGCAAAAGAGCATTACAGTCTGAGAGAGGCTTTTTCACCTCCCCAGTCCTTCCCCTTTTGTTCTGCAGGGGGGAAGGAAGAATGTCAAGGAGCCTTTCCTCCCTTTCTTGACTTCTTCCCTCCTGTGCTGTGCAGTATAGACCAAACTGAAGGCAGAGGAAGGGTTCAGGACTGAACCCACTGCTGAGCACACCCTGCCACTCCGCAAGGATTCACTATCTGCTATCTTACACCATTCTCTCTCACACTTCAAATCCTGCAGCCAGGTGCTATGTCCCTCTGCACTCTCCCAGTAATCCACCTTTCTCCACTGTCTCGGAACCTACACGTCACCAAACACTATACCCACAGAGTGAGAAGCTCCCACTGTTTCATTCTAAAGGAGTTACTCTTTCAATTTAAATAGGAGTAGCCATAGGCTTGGATTGGGGTTCAAACCCTGATTGCAGTACCTGGGGAAGAAAAAACTTATCCTTCTTTCCATCTAGGAGCTGTGACCTCCACTGGACCGCAGAACACCTGAAAAAATGGCCAAAATCCTTCTGCCACACTTAGAAAAAACTGTCAGGCAGAAGACCATCTCTACAAACAGCAAGCAGTTGCCTCAGCCAGAACCCTGATGAAGAAACTGTACAGCCACTCTGGCAGATGCTGCTTGAGCACAGACAAAACAGATGACAAAGGTGTGTGCGTGCTGGGGGCAGGGAACTGAGAACAGAACAGGGGTTAAAAAAACAGGTTAAGGGATAAAAGAAGCAGGAGAGTCTCAGGTAAGGAGCCATTATATTCCATTACTTCAAAGAGAACAGAGAGATCTCAAAGCACAAGTGCTACAAATATCTTGTTCCTTGTTTTTGGGCAATATCTGTTCAGTCACTAACAGCATATTTGGGCTCTGCCTGGCTCTGCTCTTCATGCACCAGCAGGCACTCTGTCTCCATTGATCCCAGTCAAGTTTATAACCAGAGGGGCTGGAGTCATATAATGAAACAAGCTTCCCCATGCTGAGCAGAAGCCTTTTCAGCACTGAGTGAAGGGGATGCATCACATGAACTGCCCAGAACAGCCACTGTACTGTCCTCACCAAATCCTTTCATGCCTTCTCAGTCAGGCCACCTTTGAAACGTATTAAGTGGGAAAATCTGACTTCTAGTGGACAAAACACTAACATCCCTAAATCTGAAACTAAAATTTTTTTTCAGGAGAAGGAGCCCCTGTGGGTCATGGAAAGTCTGATCATCCAATTGTTGTTCATTGTTAATTTGCAGTCAACATGTTTTTTGATCACTGTGTTAGACTGACTGCATAGCAATGTGCCCTGCAAGAATTAGTGCACTACAAATAATACATGACAACAGCACTCTAAGGTCAGTCCAGAAACAGTATCTACTTTCTTCTGCCTTGTGCAGGCAGCAAACATGCCCTAATTGTGCTGAACACTGGCATTACTCACTGTATAATTTCATCTCACCCTTTTTTCTGAAAATCAAGATGAAAACAGGCAATAAGCACAGCTATGAAGTTCTCCTTCATAATATACAAAATCTATAACAGTCTTTTTTTATTAATATTTAATCTCCAAGAATATAGGAAATAGTAAAACCTAGTAACTTGGAATTTGTATATCTTATTGAAAAATATCCATTTAAGGAGAACTAATCCTGAAAAGATTTAATATCGATTAGTAAAACCAATATAATATTCATCAAAAAAAGGGTGCGGAAACAGTTTGGAAATTCCTTTAATTTACTGGAGTCTAAAATTGAGAAACGTGAGTATGCAAGATTTGTGTTCTACAATATCTGTATATTTGTATTCTACAATCTTTTCCTTCTAGGATCTTGACTAGCTAGAGGAACTTCTGAATAGCTTACACGGAGAGGAGAAATATTAACTGGTAGCATTTCTATTTTCTTAGTGTGCATGAGAATAACAAAATTTACCTTGTCATAATAGTATCTGAGCGCCCGGCTCAGCTTGTCATAATTCATATTAGTTTTGTTTTTTCTGAGTCCCCACAGCTTAGCCACTTCTTCTGCCTTGAGTAGCTTGAATTCGCCATCATTAGACGTCCAGCAAATGAGGTGCTCGTGTTTCTGGTCTAGCAGCAACTGCAAAAGGAACTGCCACAGTGTGATTGCACTCTCCATACCTAGAAGGGACAAAGGAGAGCAACAGTGTAAAAAACATTTGGGAGCAGGTGTTCCACCCAACACTCATGTCAGTAATAAGCTCTATGCAGGAGTCATCCTACATAACTGAGAAAAGGAAGCTACCACATCATTCACAACCAAACATCCACAAGACCTACAGGTCTTCCACTGCTTTTCCAGTATTTTCCCCACTGCTGTTCTCTGAAGGGTCACATAAAATAGAGGAAGTATTTAGAAAAGCACTGCCCACAAAGTTCACATTATACAAGGTCACCACCAGTTGGCATCTTCTATTCATTGTCAGCAATCACTCTTCAAAGGAACACATAAGGCAGGGAGAAAAGGACTTAACATGACTATCCACTATTTTATTGTATTAAAAACCTGCTGTTTACAGCCAGGAGGAGTCTACTGGACTTGTTCAGATACATCACTGTGAAAAAGGGGAGGATGAGGGAAGACCAGAGCAATTGCCTTTGATTACAGGACCAGAAGCTAACATCGCTTCCCCCTCCCACCACCAGACTGCCTTTGCCTATTTTGGTTTTTTCCAGGGCCTCAAATTACTCTTGCTGCTTCTGTTTGCCAATTCAAATAGCTCAAAAGACATTCTTGATTTTTTAGAAAAGCTGGAAGTTCAGTACACTTAAGCACAGTAAAGTAAGTGTTTACTCAGAGCCTCTCTTTAATGGGGATCTTTTCTTTCATTATCAAAGGTACAACTGAGAATTAGGAACATTTTTAACAGTGCCTGAGTCTCACATCTGAGGCTGGTTGAATTTTTTTTCTCTGCTAAAGATTGTTTGAATATATTTTTCCTCTGCTAACTGCCTGTGCTACTGAGCCCTCCCTAGAACAAACCTTTTGTTCAGGCACTGCAATAAAAGGATAACTGAAGGCTGGCTACATTCCAACTCAGCAGAGGTGTATACACAACTTAAAAATTGGGAGCATTGTCACTGCTAACAACTTATCATTTTAATGAAGATGCAGCTAAAGTTGACCTTTTAAACTACAGAAATATTAAATGAGATTTTCACCCACTTTCAAAAACATTCCCAGCCTCAGCATGTTAACATTGGATCAAATAATTTATTTTTTTTTTTGTCTCTTCTGAGTCTTATCTTGGATATGATATGTCACAGAGATTTATTGCTGTGGTATTAATTGACTATGGTGCTAATGGGGCTAGTTATTACCTGAGTTACCTGTGTGCATGAAACAATGGGTACTTTTGTCTTTATCTAGACAAGCTCAGGATTTTTAGCGCCCTCGTTCACTTTGTTTCCCAATGCAGTGTTGTTTGTGCCCTAGCAGATGACACGGACAGGATGCCAGGCTGGCTGCCTGCCGCTTCCCTGGATGTGCGTACCACAAGAGGGCACAAGACTTCCAGCTATCCCCGGCAGGGAACACGAGAGCGGCGGGAACAGCTGCCTCTTCAGGTCTGCCCGGCAGGAGGGACATCACCGTGCATAAGGTTCATGAGTATAAAGAAAAATAAATTGCGCGAGCTAATTTACTAGCGTAAAGAAAGTTAATGAGAACACCGTCAATGGTTTTGCGGAAAACAAGGATTTGGAGCTATGTTTCGGTGCAAATAATTTTTAAGTAAGCTAGCCAAACAGGGGTTGGCAGAATTGATGATGATTTTATTATCTCTTCAAAATCCTCATTTCTCTAATTAACTGAGAGTCCCGTCTGAATGACAAAGACAAAACCACTGATGCTCAGCTGAGTGACACCATAACTACGCAGCCCTTTCAAAGGTCATTTGAGGCTCCGAGGAGTGTCAGGGATCCTGGAAGCAGAACAGCCTATATGGAAGGTCTGGCACTTTCAAACGTTTGCATTTGCTTCATTGCAATTTTATACAAATCCTTTCCCACATAAAATAAGGCAAGAAAAAAAAATTCATAGCTAGGATTAAATATACCTGACAGTTACTCGCTTTACAGCCTTTAAATGTTCCTTTAAACTACACCCTCTTTGCAGACATTAGCATCTTTAACAGATTATTTATCTATAACTTCATAGATAATAAAGTTTCCCTATTAATCTGGCATCATAAATATACAGATACACATCATATATGTATATACTTTCTAATACTTGCAAGTTTTGCAATTGACTTTGCTAAAAAGGTGTATTTATATACAATCATATTCCTCCTAAATAATTCTATTTTCTGTACATCACATATTTTGCAGCCATACCCTGCATAATTTTAACTTGCATCATAAAATTCCTCCTAACAAGAAATCACAAACAGAACTTCTGTTGCTCTGGAAAATTTTAAGTACCATATAAATATCTTCCTTCAAAATTGTACTAAAATGTGTCCTATGCTACAAAGACCTGTCAGCAGAACTTCAGCTGAGGAAACTAAAGAGGGTTGAGAATTATGGAAGTACCAATACAAACTTCACCACCATATCATCACCCAAAACAGTGTAATACCTCAGAGACACAATTCTCTCACCCAGATCTTAAAGTACAAGTTCAGCACTCATGGCTCTGAAGAGAGGTTAGGTGGAACTGAACGCCCAGTGAAGAACATTTTGCTGCAGCCTGCTCCATCCCCATTGACCTCTGCCCATGAAAGCTCACAAGGTAATCTGCAGCTAACTTTGTACTAACTACACTTTCCATGATGAACCTGTTTTCTGATGCTTATCATCTGTCAAATGTAAACAGTTTTGGATTCCATTTTATCTACTGAGTGTGGCACTCAAGGTGACTCAGCCACAGGCATAATGTGAAGTGCATGAACAGCACAAGCCTGGGTGAGAGAATCCTACAGGAACACTCACTCCACAAACCATAGCTCCTGGTGAGCAAGGAGGGGTGATTCCCATCAGGTTATCTCATAAAAGGGTTCTGCCACCTTTTTGTGGCAGTTATTCCAGCTGAGATCCACGGATAATCTCTGCGGGTCACTCCAGGTGCTGGACCCAGGGCAGATGGCTGTGGTGGGATTAGATTCAGGCAGCTCCTCACAACCCTATCTTGCCTGACCACAAACTCTCCCAAGCCTGGGGCTCTGAAGAGGCTTTATCAAGGACCTGTGTACCTCAGACTTCAGCATCAATGTGCTCAGTTGGTACATGCATAAATCTTCTACTGGTATGACCCAAGTCTGCCCCTACAGAAATGAGATTAAAACAGCTCAATGCTGCATTGTGCTTCATCCCTCCATCTGCCACTGAGTTCCTGTATAAAGCTTCCCATATTGCTTGTACAGCAACTGTTTGTATCACTCCTACAAGTGGCAAATCATGCTAATTACATTTTTAGCTGATCATTAATTGTATGGTCTACTCTTCTAACCACCCAACTTGAGGTGTGCAGGTCTGAGTCACACTGACTATTCACAGCTGTAACTACCTATAACAGAAGCCTTGGTCTAAGTATATATGGTGAAGTAAAATCTCAGATTTCTTGAATTTGGTAAACTGGTGTTAATCTCATTTCCATTCTGTAAAATGTGATTTGCAGGGGAATAGTTGTAGGAGGATCCTCTGCCTGGATTCCTCTCTGAGAAGGAGTTTGGAAAGCAAAGGGGTCCCTTCTGCACCCCATGACTCAAAGAGAAGGCTTCTCTAATAAACTTTGTCTGAAGCTCCCATTCTGCCCATGGCAAATTCCCATTCTGCCCACAATAACAGAAAAATCTAAGATTCTGCAGTGACAGGATTTTATAACTGATACAAAATATTTAATTTCCAATCAGGCCAACAGATTTATTAACCTGCCTTTCTCAATGGGAACTGTTTTGAATTCCACAAGGCACTAACTGTCCCCTTGGGAGGACAGAATGGCCACACAGGGCTTAACCTGTGCCCCATTTGAGTGGTCAAGCAAGAGAATCACGACACAGATGTATTGGATTTATTAGAAGATATGTAATTCAACCAAAAATCTGGTACCTGTATTAAAAGTCATAATAAATTATGACTGTGAGGAGTTGGAGATCTTCAGAAAACATTATATTTCATTTATGTATTTTCCAACTCTTTTGAATTTTTACTGACTCAAAGGGAATTCAGTGTCTTGCCTTACTTTGACAGAAAGGGTTGTTAGGATGTGGTCACTTCCTACAGTGACCACATTTCATTCAACTCTTTATTAATATTAAATAGTAATAATAAATATTCCTCTTACTTCTGCACTCAGTACAAGATTTGAATGCAGAGCAATAAATAATACATGGAACCACATACTGAATTACATGGATTAGCAGAAAAAATAGTTTTTAAAAAACCCTTATTTAGATAGTCACATGTATCAATGGTACAGAATGAGAAACACAACCTATGTTAGAAACATATACCCCGTGTCATGGAAAGCCTAATCAAAATTCATACAGACAAAAGAGTCAATTTTTTAATCCATTAACTCTGACATATCTGATTTTGCCATCTTACCATTTTTAAAATATTTATACAATGCATTTGACAGTCAAAGATGCTTTCTAAGCCATGAAACAAAATTTGCTCGTTTGACCTGACCTAGATAGCCTAGTAATTTTATTTTGTGATCACTTCCACTACTGCTCATGCAAATAATCACGGGCATAGTTAGAAGAAATTATACTTGGAAATGCTGTGTTAGACAGCAAAATGTTATTTCAGGACTGAGTTTTCTGAAAATCCATTTCTCTGGCAGCTGTGACAGGGAACCACACTGACATCATCTGCATTAGCAATTTACATTCCTTGCAACGTGCTTCCCCCCACACAAACCCTAGCAACTGCATGATCAGTGTGATACACCATGCCCTCCACACACCAAATTTTAAGTTTAGGTCTGATGCCAGAAGGCAGCAAATCAGAGTATCTGTGCTGGTAATTCTGCTCCTATTTCAACCAAACTGAGGGCCTAATAGAAATGCCCAAACTTGGAGCAGCAGTGGAGTCAACACCATAAGCTCTCCCTGAAGAGGATAATGGAAATGGATAGAGACATCCATCGAGCAAAGTGTCCTGTCTGAGAGA